AAACTCTTTCCACGTTCGTCACTGCATAACATCCATCAGTAATCTGTAATATTTACATCGTTTGGGAAACCTGAGTTTTGATGCTCCATTACGTTAATGGTTTGATAGAAGAGCTCTCCTCGTTCATCACTCACTCCTCTCAGACTCTCAAGATAAAGATTCAGATGTGGACGAGGGAAATTCGCTGTTATAATCCTCGGACATTTCAAAGCAACAAACGGTTACAGGCGTCTCCGCACAGTCTTGAAAATCCGTAAATCTTTTCTTTGAAAACAAACTTTGACGCTCAAATGAGTCCGAAGTCATCCGCTTCAAGTGACCAAGATGTGTGCTGGGGTTGTGATCCTTTAGGAGCTCATTTTTTTGCCAACTGACGAATATCCTTCTTTAGATGTAAACGCTTTGATCTTTGACTTGAAAGTTTCTCACCACATGCTCAGATCCTTCTGAGTTCCTCCGGCCTAGTGTTGTCACGAATTATTTCATGAGACCTCGCTTGATGTGGAGGAAGCATATTTTGTGGGTTAACCATGGAATGATTCTGAACACTCGAAATTCCTTGTTTATCTGACTTTTGTGAAGGCCATTCTGACTTGACATAATGCATGGAATATATCAGACGATCAGACAGACATAAAAGCCGTATTTGATGAATCTCGACTGCGTTGCTTTCTACATTATGATAATGTTGATGTTTCTTCATATGTTTTACTTGTAGTTATGGTCCGAGCGTCTAGGAGTACCTGCACATTTTCATAACAGGGTGTCCTAAAAGACAAAAAGGCTTCTGGTATCCATGATGCATTGACATCGTTTTGAAAAGCTTCTGAAATGGGTCAAGGACTAAGCACTGCGCCGAAGCTCGCCCATGTGTGGACTTGGGATGGTCATGATGACATGGATGACAACGTCCCACCGATCCCACCTCCACCATCCCGACTCTTCCTCCGCAGGAGATGCGTCGGCTGCCTATGATGCGGCCTGACCCTCTGGCACCGCGCGGTCGGAAGTTTCTCCAGGGCTTCCTCCGCTTCAGCTCCATTGCTCGCAACGCCATTCTGGTGATTTTGGCCGGCATCGTGGTCATCATCCTCAAGGCCAACGACCTCGAGCCGTTTCACGCCACCTGTGAGTTCTGAAGCAGTCCGTTTCGTGTCTGAGGCGCGCGAATGGGTTGCGCGATGTCTAGGGTTTGATTCCCGTCTCAGGATTTCGATCCCCGTCTGTGTGCGTGTACCTGAGGTGTGCTTTGTACGTGTGCCTTTGATGTACCCCTGAGGTGTGCTTTGTACGTGTACCTTCGATGTACTCCTGAGGTGTGCTTTGTATGTGTGCCTTTGATGTACTCCTGAGGTGTGTTTTGTATGTGTGCCTTTGATGTATTCATGTATGAAAGCTGCTACTTGTGTCCTTCTTAGCATGCCCCTCCTCTTAACCTTATCGACTCGACACTCCGAATAGACATTTTGGATTGGAGAGTGTTTTGACGTTATTACATACACACATACAACGGCTCAGTTTGCATCAGGACAGAGCGCAGTGAGTTGAGAAGTCAAGAAAACTCACCGGATAGCAAGTAGGCAAATGAAGAAGCGCGGTTTGTCTTCAGCGGAAGTGGTACTGTACTGTTGCCGACTGTCGATCTCCTCTCACAGCGTTGGTTTTACGGTGGCCGTCAACACTTAATCTCTTCCCAGCAGCGTCGGTGCCGGCGGGCCTGCCGAAGCCGAAGCCGCCGCCCTTCTCCACCGTTGATGGCAACCACACGCTGGCCTTCTCCGACATGACGTCCACCATCGGCGTCGGCATCGGCATCGTGCCGCTGCTGGCCGTCGTCGAGAACATCGCCATCGCCAAAGGCCTTCTGTGAGTGAAGCCTCTAAGCTCCACTAAAATGTGACAACTTCAGCCTAGCCTCACCTCTACCCGAAAACTTTTGGGAGAGATTACGGTAGGCATAGGTCGGAATTATAATTGTAGGAGAACACATACTGGTGCTTTTATGGACGCTATAGCGCGCCGTATAAGCAGCTGAGGACACACAGTTCAAAGAGACGCACATCATTTATCCAGGAAATACATGTTCAACCGGCAATGCATTAATGTAAACGTGCCTTTGAACGTATGCGTTGTCTTTTACTCACTTGGGGCGCTGGGGTCGCGTGCAGGCATACTTACTTATATATTCCGTTTTTATAGCCTGTAATGTTTAGCCGTACATAATATACCCTCAAAGAGACGCATATAATTTATCCAGGAAATACATGTTCAACCGGCAATGTATTAATGTAAACGTGCCTTTGAACACATGCGTTGGTTTTTACTCACGTGGGGCGCTAGGGTCGCGTGCAGACACATATATATATTCCGTTTTTAAAGCCTGCAATGTTTAGCCGTACAGAATATACCCATTACATGTCGCGGTGGATGACGGGACACGCTGCGCCGACAGCGGAGGGCAAGCGTCTGGACACGACCCAGGAGATGATCGCGCTCGGCCTCAGCAACATCGCCGGCTCCTTCTTTTCGGCCATGCCGGTCACCGGCTCCTTCAGTCGCACGGCGGTCAACCACAGCTCCGGCGTGCGCACTCCGCTGGGCGGCGTGTTCACAGGTCAGTTGACGGCCTGACCCAGCCCCCTACGCGCGGTCTACGTGGCCGTGTGTCGAGACGCCGGCCGGTGCTGCCGCCTGCTCCGGCTCGGTTCTGTGCGGGCCGTTTCTCGGGGACGTCGAGGAGGTCCGATGGCTCGTCTGCTCTTGCTCCGCTGTTTCTGCGTGTGGAGTGTGTCTTGAGAACGCGTGCGGACAGGTTAGCTGTTACCCCCCCCCTCTCTCCGCAGCTCTCTTCTCTCTCATCTCTCTCTTCTCTCTCTCCTCCTCTCTCCTCTCTCACTCCGTCTCCTCGTCTCCTCTATCTCTCTCTCTCTCTCTCTCTCTCTCATTCTCTCTCTCTCTCTCTCCCCCTCCTCTCTCTCTCTCTCTCTTGTTCAGTCATGTCGTGTGATACGGTGAATGTCAGCAGATAGCTCTGCCCAGCCCCTTGCTATCAATCCATACCCTCGGGCAATTAGTATTTGGATCGGCATCTCACCACTCCGTCCCCCAACCTGGTAAACAGAAAAGATTACATAAAGATAAGCAAATAACAAGGCTGAAGATAATATGATACAGCAGATATAGCTTTCATTTAATAATATAGATAATATTAAGAAGATGAAAAAATATTACATTTAGTTTTCAGTCCCGGTTCACGCGACGTTGCGTTGTTCCATCCGCAGGTCTTCTGGTGATCTGCGCCCTGCAGTTCCTGACGCCGTACTTCGTGTACATCCCGAAGGCCACGCTCTCGGCCATCATTATCAGCGCCGTCATCTACATGATCGAACTGAGCGTGGCCAGACCCATGTGGCGCAGTCGCAGTGAGTGTACCCCCTTCCCTCCCCCCCCCAAAACTACCACCACACCACACAGTCAGAACCTGGGTACACACGACAGTGCGCCAACAGAGACGGGCGGTACCGTCCTGCCCTTGCCCATGTCGAAACCACAGACCCATAGGCTGCAGGAGCTCCGGGGGACACGTTGTCACATTAGGGGAGTTGTTTTTCGCACCAATTTTTGACGTATGATATGTTAACGCAAGTCATGGCAAGCGGTAGGTCCCGAGTGAGTTTCGCACGCCGTTTTTCCAAACAAAAACAACATAAAACACCGGGGGGGGGGGGGGAGGGGGATGTCAGCTCAGGGATGACAGCCATTTTTACAAACTTCAGACTAAACACTTAAATAAGACCCGAAATACAGGGTTTATGAGCTGTTTTGAGCTTGGGCTTAACCATTTTTGTTTTGGACGTTTGGCTTTTGGTACAAATGTTGCAACCATGCGATATGAATATAATAACGCCAAGTTGAGCGGTCTGCAATATTTTGCCAAATTTGCCGGAATATGATAAACATGCCGTTCGTCTCAGCCTAGGAACAATATTTTGTGAGTGAGTGAATCACTAGGGTTCACTTCATTACTCATTTGTATGATACTTGTCCAACTCCAGCTAGCGTGTGTGTACTAATTTAGACTTGAGCAGGAACCAGGCCACGATGTAACATCAGATCTGATAGTGCGTACTGTATTAGCGCTTTGGAGTGCCTACATATGCAGAAGCTGTAGGAGACCCAGATCGCTAGGAAGTCCTGTCGCTGGCAGTCAGCTGGGTATGCTCGCTCACGTTCTGATTCGATGACTCGGCGCCCGACAGAGGTGGACCTGCTGCCATTCCTCGCCACCTTCCTGGCCGGCGTGTTCTGGGGCCTGGAGTACGGCATCGGCATCGGCACAGCCATCAGCCTAGGCATGATCCTCTTCAAGGCCGCCCGGCCCAAGGTCGTCACCCAGACTCGGAAGCTGGTGAGTGGGTGACGGACGGCGGCGGACAGCCGGTGGCACGGAACAGCTGGTGACAGCCGTCAGCGGCTGCGACGGCTGGTGTACCGACATTAGCCGAACGCCCGGCAGGTCTCTGCGCCCCATGGACCGCGCTCACCGCAAGGTTTAAGTCGGTGCGCATGCGTCTAGTTTTGTGTCGTTGGTACCGATTTGTCCTGGTTTGTACCAGTTCTGTCGGTGCAAATTTGTTGTTATTTTGTAAGAAGATATCGGTTTTCACGAAACATTTCCCTTGCCGAAGTACTGGTTTCATGTTTCAGTCACATGCGGGTCTTGAAACGCAACACATAGATTGTACGACGGTAAGTTTTCATTTCTAAAATAAGGCCGGCATTGTCGCGAGGGAAGAGCTGGCTTGCCTTTAGTGTTGTGGTGCGTAGCGTTAAAAATATTTCAGGACAAGAATAGCCAGTGACGCATAGTAGCATCGTGACGCTCTGGCAGCTTGATGCTATACGAGGTCATCTTCGTCAACAACCAGTACATTCCAGAGTTTTTGTGTATAGTGACACGTTATCCGTAACGTTGCAATATTACAATGCAGCAACATTTGAGCCTTTCGCTGACATGGAGATTACACGTTTGACGCATACCTCGACGGAACGCATTCCACTCGTGAAGTATTGCGCCCATTAAACGTGGAACGTAAGGATAGAACGTAAGACTTCGTGAACGCTCCTAGCGCAAAGAGGCACGAGGAGGGGGCACGTCGCCACCCTTACCAAAATTATAGCACGTTGTTTTGGGGTTATGAACAAATGGTAACATTTGATCCACTAGATGGGCACGTTAAAATGACAAGATTGGGAACATGTTGTGTCCTTATACAGCATGCATCAAATGCAAGAAACTTGTGGCCCGTGCAAGAAATTACGCGCGCGAGTGCATCACGCTTATTTCGGTTCTCGGCGATATTTTTAGCTGTGCCCCTGCCCATTGTGAAATATTGAATACGTCCCTGCGATAAATCCATCATCCCGCAGCTGTGACAGCTCAATTTACGAATTGACGTGATATTATTTACGCTTCGCCATTTGGTTCCTGGGTATTCCAATACAAATTTTGTTATAATGAACAAAAGAAGTCACAGCGTCGGGAAACGGAAAACTTCGGGCCTTGCTCGTTCACATCAAGTCAACAAATGTACAGACCCAGCCCGCCTTGTCCTGCCCGTTCACCGGCCGTCGTTCTGACGCGCGTCCTTTGCAGCCTGGCGGCTCGGAGGAGTACATCTACGTGTACCCGGACTCGGGGCTGACGTACCCCGCTGCCGAGCATGTTCGCGCCGTGGTCACCGACGCCGCCGTGCTGCACGGCCGCAGCGTGCTGCCCGTCGTGCTCGATTGCAACAACGTGCGCTACTCCGACTTCACTTCGGCCGAGGTAGATGGCGCTGCCATTCGGCCGATTGAGGGCGCTGATGCGTGGCCGGCGGCTGCACTAGATGGGTTGAGGTCTTGAAGTTTGGCGATACGGGACAGTTGCACAAAATAGAGCGCCTGAGACCTTGGAGGCATGTGCTGCGTAAATTTCTTCACGTTACATAGGTCTTCATTGCCAAAGTATATCATTTCAGTGCTGCACCTGACAACATTATGGAGCGCAGCTCGAAAATATAGCGAATTTGAACTTGCCGGCCCACTCCACCAAAGCCAGCAATGGCTGATTCCTTCTCCTCTTGTGTGTATCTGTTCGTTCGTTCCTGGTACTCAAATATTACCATAAACCATATTTTCACCTATCTATTTATATTATATATTCTATCCTTGGCACCGTTTCAGTGTATGAATCAGCTGGTGAAGGAGTTCCACGAGCGCGGACAGCAGCTGGTGTTCGTCGGTATGAAGAGCAGCATCCGCCGCTGCTGGGACGGTGCTGGTCATGCCGACAATCGTCTCAGCTGCGTCACAATCGCCGACGCCGAGCACACGATCGCTGGTATGACACAGAAGCTCGGTACGCGCCTGGCTGGAGATGGCTCCCAGCTGGGGAGGTGTTGGGCTGTGACACCGAGCGACGAATAACGTTGCTGCGTTGCGTTCTGGTGGAAATGTGTTACAGGAGTATTTTGCGATTTTCCAAGTAGTGTTCTTTCACAAAAATTGCACCGCAGACTTGCGATTCTTGAATGCAAATCATGCATGTAAAAAGTCGAGCCGTCCTCAACCCTTTGTTGTGCATGCGATGACATTTTCTGTTCAAAATAATTGCGACATTATCATGCAAGATGATCGCACGTGCGAGTTGCTCCGAGATCGCCTGGTTGGTATGAATGCATACCCAATGTCTGAACTATTGCAAATCACCCTCAGTTTTTTGCTATCCCATCACCCGGTCAAGCGCAAACGCAAGACCGCATCCCTGCGCTTACTCTGACGAAACACCCCGCAGACCACCTTCACGCGCCGCAGACGAAGGTAGACCTCAGCGGTCAGTAAGGCCATGCACACCGGCGTCATCAGCAGCCGCCATATCTGCCGACCGCTCGGCTGTCACACCCGCCACCGACCCGACTGCTCTCAACATCGCGACAAGCCGCCCGCGGAGACTCCGCGCGCCCGCGGCCGAGTTCAAGGTTTCGGCGTGTCGGTCGGGAAGCCTGGCTGTGCGCCCTGTTGCGTGCGGGAGCGTTGTTACGTCACTGGGGCCCGTGGCGGAGGCCTCCGATGCGCTGGACGCTCACACTCACTGTAGTTCTCATTAGCTGTAGACGCTGACGCATGCGGGCCCGCAGGGCGGCTGCGCACGTGGCTCGTGTGCAGGGCATTCCTAGACGGGGCACAGCGTGCCCGGCGCGGGCCGATGCAGGGTCAGCCTGCCTGGTTCCCGCGAGTGTCGACCATGCGCTGGTGTATTGGCAGGGTGGCCTATGCATGTAATCGAGATCATTGTTGATCCTGAAAGTGTTCGCTATCATGTCCGCCGCAAGCTGTGCGACTTTTGTTGTTTTTTTTTTTGATGGTTTTGCTATCTTCATTCGAGAAAATTTCCTTGGTGCACAAATTTCCTTGGTGTCGGAAGCCACGAAATGTCGCAATTTAATCCGCGAAGGCCTCCATTAGTAGAGCCAATGATTTGTTTACGATTATTTTGCGCTACTGTTAAAATGTTTTCGTCCTCGTTGACAGAGTTGTGTTCTGACAGCTGACAGCCGCATGTGACGGACAGTTCAACAACATGTGAGGACAGATCAACAGTATCTGTCCCACACGTGCAACGCTTGAGCAAGGCGTTTACAAATAGAAGCTGCAAGGAACTTAGAGATGTAGCTTTAAAGATTGTCCTTGTGGGAGGTTCAGGATATCACAAGACCCCCAATATTTATCTTCACTTTCAAGGAATTTTCCATGGATGTGAAAACATCAAATGCATTGAACCACCGTCAAAGGTCATTACAAACTATGTATATAATACAGGCGAGGTAAGTTATTATGATGAAGTTCATGATTTATGAATTGCCGTTGCTGAGATCTAAGCACTTATCGTCTTACTGCTGTTGCGTAGAGTTAAGAACTGATCATTTTAGAGTTTGCTGTTGCGCTTTGTTTTGTACGTGCATCACCCTTTTTCGCTCTGGAATAACACCACCTGATCTTTTGTAGAACCAGCTGTCCGCAATTGAACTACCTTTCGGGCACCGTTTTACCTGCGTTTGACTAATATTTCTATGATGTCAGGCCTGTCGCCCCACTGAATAATCGATACATATGCTTCTACGGCGTATTTATTGTAAGTGTGTATTGAGTGCATGCTAATTATTATAAGATCGGTGGACGGATGTTATCATCTGTCCACATTTGATAGTAGTCGACAGTGCGGGACATTGCGTGTCATTACTTCGGCATGCAGCATGCCCGCTGTGACATGGTGCATCGGAACTCTGTTGCACTGGACAATACAGACCATGTTGATACGGTGGTTTTCTCCTGTGTCGCCTAATAGTCTCGCACGAGGGCCGAGTAACTAAATGTTATGGACTCATTACCGAAATGAAACGCAGTCATTTGGATATATTTCAGCTACAAACAACGCAAAACACCACTAGAGCCCTGTCACTCCTTGAAATAAGTGCAGAACGCAGCCAGTTCTTAAAGAGAGTGTTCCACATTTGAAGATGATGAGGCAAGCATCAGATGCGATGAAATAAGCTCACTTGCAACCAATGGTATGCTTTTAAGTGCACAAGACTGATCCAGATAACAAAATATCACATCTTCGTAACCAAGCTCTTCAATGCAACATCTTTTCATTACATCATGCAGCGTTAGTATGACGTCAGAGTCGCTTCCAGGTGGTCGTGTCACAATTGCGACTGCAGCTAGCGGGCTGAATCACTTATATTTCCTTAACTTGACGAGATGTGAGGCGCTTTAGCACGTGTTGGCGAAACCAAAGTATCATTCTGTTCGCGTGATCTGGCCATTTCTCGAGGTGTTCGAGGAGTTTTTTCCGTCGTGACAAGTATCACTGCACACGTTCCTGTTCATTACAATATGTTTATATACGTACATATAAACATACGTTATATATATATATATATATATATATATATATATATATATATATATATATATATGGACATATCTATGCATGTATCATTCCTGTAATTGTGTAGCATAAAACGCGATTAGTTTTAAAAGCATGCACTCATGGCATCAAAATGATCCAAGGCCAACTGATGACCGCCGAAGTCTCGAATCCTGCTCACATGCACCAGGCATCAATAGTTTGGTGGGCATTATTTTTTCTTGGCGTTGAGCATTACACGGCCAATAAGTGATGGTATTTGCGTGACGTTCGTGTGACGTAATGAATGTCTGGGTGGCCTTGAATCAGTCTGCACAAGTTTGCCAGCGTCAAGCTCAGAAACCGGAGGGTTTTAAACCTGGCAAAGGGCATGACTGTGAACTGCACTGAATGATCTCTGAAATGACTATCTAGGCTCAAAACCCCACATAAATGTGGAGCTTCCCTTTAAAGGGAATGTTCCACATCTGAGGATCTTGGATAAAGCATTAGATGTTATGAAATTAGCTCACATAACTTTGTACATACTTCGAAGTGGAAAATACTGCCCTTGACAACGAAATCTACCTTTTTAGTAAATATGCCACTTCATACGTCATCATTTGATCGCGTCATAGAACGCTTACCTGCCGTTGAGGTGAAGCCAAACTGGCCGTGCGAAATTGCCACCTAGCATTCACTTGTAGGATTTAAATCTCCCGAGAGGTGGCCGCAGCAGTGCTGGGGATATCCTGAACCTGATATCGTTATGTGCTCGTGCTTTGTCCTTCTCTCGTGGTTCTTGTATATTTATCGATGGATGAAGTTTACTGGTATTGACATGCTCGGTCGTTGTGCTTTTCTTGAATTATTATATTACAAGCCTTTTTTGTAAAAAAAAAACAGGGAGAAATGTCTAATTCTTGTGTTACGTGGCATACAACGTTCAATACTGGTCCATACCTGCTATATACATGTAATGCCTCTTCTTCCGGTTATTCGGTTTCGGATGGATATCCGGTCCCGTCCAGCTGTACGGGGATCTATGGTACGGGCACGGTCCATGTCACATGGCCACATGGACAAGATCCCGATAATAGTGCTAGCACTTGACAGTGCTCGGCTTAGTCATACTTAAAGCAATTTTCCATGTTTTTTACATTGAAACTGCCGAAAATTAGTTATTGAACGAGCCGAAGCGAAACCGTTTTTTTTCTTTCTCAAAATCAATCATCATTGCCGTTCAAGAAACATGTCCCCTTCCTACTAACCGCTATATTCACAATCCTACTCACAAGAGCTCTGCATGCACATCACCCCAAAATGCTTCAGCTGTGTGTGTGCTGACCACAACGCCAACCATTCTCAGTGCCGAGACTGGTGTGTCTAACCCGCAGGCACGGTACACTGTCAAGGCAAATATGTATCTGTCTTGCCCAAAATCGCACGCGCGAGCAACAAATGTAAATGTGGCAGCTTGTGGCACACAGACAGAACCGATTTCCCACTTGCCGCCGGTGAAAATTTTTGCTCCACTCAAGACTGTCTCCATTGCATCGAACACAGAAGCCTAGCAAACTTGCTCCCTCGAGCCCCGCCTGACCAGGCGTCCAGACGCACAGGCCTCCGCGCCCTTCCGTCATCAGCCCGGCCGACGTCCTAGCCCTCCGGCTACGAACGGTCGGCAGCCGGATCCCTCTGGCCGCCACACGAACGCTCCCCCCCCCCCCCCTCCTCCCCCTTCCCCCCTCTAGCACAGCACCTTCCGTGACACGCCCGAACGAAGACCGTCGGTCCCGTCCGCCAGTGAGGGTGGCGATGGGACGGCCTCGGCCCGTTTCGCTTGGCCCCTTCCCACCAACCGCTGGGAATGGGTCTATTCACCATTTTACCATGTTCACCATTAACCATTCACCATTGTTCACCATTTTGTCTCACAGTGGAATTGTAGCCGTCTTATTTCAAAATTGTTTAAAGTGCAAACACTTTTTTTGCAGCATAAGCTTCAATTATTATTGCCACACAAAGAACTTGGTTTCGTCCTTACAGCTCCATGTAGCTGTAAAATACCAAAGTATTCTTTACATCGTTGTGACGACGCAGGCGGTGAGCGTCGCCAAGGTGAGGGTGGCGCAATGCATCAGAAATGAAATAACACGCACGCGTCTTTCACTCAGCGTACCTCCAGGCTGGTGCATGTTCTATGCGGCTTCATGACCGCATCAGCGATGTATGTTCTTTGTACTCGAACTGAGAATGACTCGGAGCTCTCGCGGCAACTTGACCAGCTAGTTACTCACTTTCGTGACCTTTTTTTCATCCTCGGTGATTTCAACGGTCACAGCCCGATTTGGAGTAACGGCACCCAGGCTGTCAATCGCAGAGGACATTTGATTGAAGATTTCATTGATGCTCATAATTAAGTCTTGTCAGAAAACGGAAATAATACTTACCGCTAGTTACGCCCTGGCATAGAAACCGCCATCGACTTATCGCTGAGCTCACCACAGCTATCGCTATCACTAGATTCGCGCTGCAGCGACCGCGACGATTTCACTGACCAAGCTCTCATCACGGCACATACCGCTACCGCGGCGGAGCACCGAAGTCAAAAATGCCTTTCGTCGGAGACGTTTCCAAAAATGAGTTTAAAGCGGGCATCTGTGAAGCATTTTTAGAAATGCTCAAAATATAGCCCTGTCTCAACTGTTTGTAAAGAAAGTACACGGTGGCATCACCGTACATTTTGAACCTTCTGTTCATGGATGAAGCCACTGTCAAAAATAAACGCTGCCACCATTCACCTTCTACCACCTTGCACTGCCAGCTTCTGGAGCTTGCCAATATGAACTGTTAGAACAAAAACCGTCTAATCCCACAAAGGGATTGGATTTGATTTATTTATGTTTATTTTTTGCCAACTCAGCAAATCACAACACATCGTGGCCATTGCTGTGGCGGTCGCTGTAGGCATAATCAAGTAGCCCACACGTTAGATGACGGTAAGGATGGAAAAGAAGGACTAATATGTAAAATTGCTAGGGTGGGCCAGAGAGCGAGGTATGGGAAACAAATTAAGACTGGAGCAATGTTGGGCGCATTCTGCAAGTTGCAAGCCTCACATTGAATGATAGTGAAGGGAGTGGCACGTAACCCCCAATCTATTCGAATTTCACATTGGCCATATCATGGAAAGTAACGAGAAATAAGGAACACATTTTCCGCCATCCCAGATGATTCATAATCTTTTGATGATGATTATACACTCCGGCTGTTTCGAGCACAATATATCCACTCGATCATTTATCCAAATAAAGCCCTGTACGTCAACAGCAAAGTTCCCGAATGATGTTGTCTTAGGCTTTTAAACGCGCACAGTGCTGGGTTTTCCATATACACACAGTATAAATACAAGTGCTCAGAAATATTTTCAAAAATGGTAATAAGCAAATGCAATGTTGAACATTTACAAAATGAACGTTTCTTTTGCCATGGAAGTCGGCATTTCACGAATACTTGACGCTGTACATCGGCTTCACGTGAGTGTTTGAGGCTGCTAATCGACTCGGCATGCATGGTCGATGTTCGGACGACTTGGACCACATTCGTGGAAGCATACGATGGAGCTTATGCTTATACCTGGGATTCGCACATGTCGGATAGTGAAAATTAACCGGGTATGGCGGCTTGGCACCACATGCAGGTAATGACCTCGGTTCACGCTTGCTCAGTACTGTGACTCGATTCACCGCACAATCTCCACGCTGGAAATTGATTCGCTTTCAGTGACAAATATATTACATAATTTATCGGTTCACCATGCGTGACGGATGCCGCAACGCAGTCCGCCACGTACTCAGCACAGCAGTTTTATACATTAGAGGCACTTGGTTATCAACAAGTTCACCATGCGCGCTCGATTCAGATAATCGGGTCACTAACTAAGCATTCTCGATGCTGTGGTTCGGATGACTTTCTCGGACAAGGGTGTGGCGCGAAGGCTCCAGCAGTGTTTCAGACCCGTCAGCGAGGTCAGCGACCTGGCCTTGGTGCGGGCTGAAACGGACGCCGCTGACTGGCTTCTGGTTTCCACCTGGAGACAGGGAAACCGTGCTCAGCTGGTGTGATGTGACGTCATCTGCTCCCGATTCACAACAAAAAAGCACACGTATCCCTAAAGACATGATATCGTTTAAGGAAGGGTTGCATACTGCTATGTGGTTTTGAACTGAAAGGGTCATCTTGAAGACCTCTCGGTGCTGCCCACAATACTGCCCTTCTTTAGAGCTATCTAAACCCCTCTAGTTTCTAAGCTATACGCCAGCAAAAATGGGATAAATATTTCGGGAGATTCTATCAAAGCCATTTTGACATTTCTGTCATAATAACTTAATTCAAATCCTGTTAATTCAAATCCGGCGATTAAGGCCAACAGAAATTTAATTGTCGAGACGTTTATATCTGGCGCACATGACCACGATTTCCAGACGTAACGCCCGTCAATTGGCACTCAATCATAATTGCGCAAGGTACGAGGACGTGACTAAAACGTGACGCATTGGGGAGCACATTTAATAAACGGAGAATTGTCCTTTTTAGAGCAGTCTTTTCAACTTAAAAAGCATATCAATAGTTACATGTAAGTTTGTTTCATCATATCTAGTGGCTGCTTCAATATCTTCAAATGTGAAACATTCCCTTTTCAGCAACTCAGCAGCGCGCTCCTTTTCGTGTTACGAGTTGCCAGCCGCGCAATATACATGGATGCTTGATACAGAGATGATCACATGATGATCAAAGGATCCAATTCAGGTCAATGCCGCTCTAAATGTGGCAAGCCTGAACCTGCTTCAAATAACCCGACCACAATGCATAAGACCTTCGTCTGCAAACCGCCTCCTCGCTTCGTCGTCCACGCGCTGGGCGGCGGCGGCTTCCGAGCAGCAGATGAAGAACGCCTCCGGATCGACAGCTGTCCATACGGCAAGCACCGACGGCTTTGCCTCCAGCAGGAGCAGGGGTCCGGCGCCGGTCTGCTCTAGGCTCCGGCCGGCGGCGGCCACGCTCTGCAGAAGCGGGTGGAGGTCAGAGTCCGGTACAGGCACGACTACACTCCGCAGAAGCGGGTGGAGGTCAGAGTCCGGTCCAGGCACGGCTACACTCTGCAGGAGCGGATGGGGGCCAGGGACCGGTACATGCACGGCCACAGGTTCAGGAATGGAGAGAACTCAGGAGGGTGTTCAGCAGAGGGCATCAGGCATCATTGGAGAGAGGGTTTCATCATATTACACTTAAAGGGACATGCCACGGCTAGATTAGGCACGCTCCTGATCAGGGAAGATGAGCCAGAGGCTCCGGAGACAGTGACATTCTTAAGCAGCAGAGCTCCAGGAACGGTGAAGCGCTGCAGCGATAGAGGAGGTGGCGCCAAATGCTCCACGAGGTATGTGTGTTTATCAGCAACAATAGTGCGTATAAGGGCATACCACCAAGACGTCAAAGAAAGATAATATTAAATATCGTCTTTCGTCCACTTAAATCAATGGTTGAAATTTTCACAAGTATTTAGCTTAAATAATGAGCTAAAAGTTTGTGAAAATTTCATCTGATTGTTTAAACAACCGGACTCAACATGAGTAGATGAATAAGATGGCACAAAAAGCGCAAGATGGCCAAAAGTTAACATATAAGGACATTAACACCAGTATTTGGCAGTATTTTAACCATCAAGGACGAGGTTAAATGGCTCCATGTTTTCTCCAAAGCGCACCCTGAGCTGGTTTCACCAATAATGTGACTACATTATCTAAACGATACAATTTTCAGCTAGGATATGATCACTGGATGAAAATTAAGAGGACATCAGCGGGACACTGTCACAAACACAGCACAATGCTAAGCGGGTCACGCGTCAAGAGACGAAGCGGCGAACCGCCGTAGCACCGACCATCACGCTACCTTAACCACCGTAGCACTGACCGCCGCGCTACCTAAAACCGCCACAGTGCCGACTGCCATGCTAACTTAAGCCGCCGTAGCACTGACCGTCACGCTACCTTAAGCCGCCATAGCACCGACCGTCACGCCACCTTAATCCGCCGTAACACCGACCGCCACGCTACCTTAAGCCGCCGTAGCACACCGACCGCCACGCTACCTTAAGTCGCCGTAGCACCGACCGTCACGCTACCTTAACCACCGTAGCACTGACCGCCGCACTACCTTAAGCCACCATAGCACCGTGCGTCACGCTACATTAAACCACCGTAGCACCGACCACCACGCTACCTTAAGCCACCATAGCACCGGCCGCCACGCTACCTTGGCTGCCGTGAAGTCTGTGTAGCGTATGTTGCGACAGTTGAGAACCACTGGTAGGGAACTTTCCTCAGTCTTGCTGTACTCCCCAGCCTGTCCATCCGATAGGCCGTTCTGAACAGACAAAGGACCGCCGTCACAGACGGCAGTGACGTCATTTCGTGACCTCATATCCCGCAGGAAACGCCCATGGTGTTACGTTGTTTATGAATGCATGTGACCGCTAATGCTATCAGCTTCGCTCTATCCTGTCGTGCACAGCACCCGCCAAACGTTTTCTGTGATAAGAATCAAACTCCCGATCTCTCGATCTCAAGCCAGTTCCTGAACACCTCGGCCGCTCACCGCTTCACTATCTAGTGCCGTCCATCCGTCGCCTGCACCTTCTCCGGCCAGACGCGTGACCTTGACCTCGCCCTCCGTGACCCCTGCTCGGCCAGTGTCCGCGGGGCACAGCCGGGTCACCTCCGGAGCGCAGCTGACGGCCGCCTCGCCCTCTGCCGGCCGGTCCGGCGCAGGGAAGCTTCCGCGAGCCGCCGCCAGGATGCGGTCGCGGAGGTTCTCGGCGGCCGGGTAGTGAAGTCCGCACTCGGGTGTCACCAGCAAGTACGGCTGGCCACCAGCCGGCTGGGGTGAGCACAACGCGGGGAATTCAGCCCTTGATGCGATACGCTTGCTCAGCGGCGTAACAAGCGGACGTGAGACCCGAATAACACATAAAGACCCAGCAGGGTACGAGACCAAACACTGGAGGAACAATCAAGAGCACAACAGAGGAGCACAAGAGCACAGCAGAGGAGAACAAGAGCACAACCGAGGACAAGAGCACAGCAGGGGGCTAACCGGAAAAAGACGGTCTCAGCAGGCGAATGGCTGACGTTTTGCGCGGCATATCAGCTAAAAAACATGGGTCCAGTCACCAGCTACGATTTTAGCAATAGGCAGCTTCGTGTTCGTTGGTACGGTAGACAGTCTGCATCGCAACTTCTCAACTTCAACTACCGCGCTCAGAACTATATGAACTACGATGCCTCGACTCAAAATGGCTCATATCAGCAAATGTAAGCTCAGATCGTTTCGAAACACCAGCGGTAACAACACAGCACGGCTCAGAACCGCCATTCGCCGCGCTGACCGTCCATTTGGTGGTGACGACGATCTTCGGCCGGGCCGACCGGTGCAGCAGGAGCAGGAGACTGACGCCGGTGCCCAGCAGGATGCCGTACTCCAGGCGCCAGAGCAGGCCGACCAGGAACGTTACCAGCAGCGGCACCAGGTCCGGCTCTGTCGAGCATACAGCGGTGTACCCACCTGAACGTTGGTGTAAGCGAGCGGCTTACTCCTCCCCCTGAAATTTGGTGTAAGCGGTACACCCACGTAACGCCATTGTAAGCGGTGCATCCTGGTCGACAATGGCGAATGCATGCTGGCTTATCGATCTAAATCTGCGTTGCAGAAGTTGTCCATTGGGAACGCACTTGCGCACATTGTCCACCCTTCTTTGACAATCAAGAAACAAAGGATTGAGTGGAATGTTGGCCTTCACGTATCGTTTGAATACACGCTCGTCCCAAACCCGAACCATTTCAGTTCACTGGCTACATGTGTTCCCTCCCTCCCCCCCGCCCCACCTCTCATTATTAGGATCCGGCGCGCCCACTTTCAGCGCAGCGATTTGTGAGAAAGGTTCGTCACAACATGGCCAGGGTGTGGGCGCCATCTCCTGCTACCACCCGAATAACACCGGCTCAATAGCTGCACATAACCCGTCCCTGCCTTCGCCACTGCACTCACTGCGACAGCGCCACAGTGTGGGCACCATCCTCCACTCGACCATGAAGACGACGGCGCAGATGATGACGGCCGACAGGCTTGCCGTCGGGATGAAGCGGAAGTAGGGCGTCAGCGCGGCCAGCGCCACCACCACCAGTACGCCTACAGCATCGCCGAGCGACAGACGTGGGCGTTAACGTTGCTGTTATTGGGGTTTAACGAGACGTTCAACGGCTCAGGTCATTTGACTTTGAAGTCCTCCACGCTGAGTTTTGCGGGGTGGTGACACCATTGGCAGGGAGCCAAGCTCGAACATCACACCTTTCGCCGCGAGGCGATCGTTACCCCACCTGATGCACACTATCCCCGAGGTCATTCTTGTTTGAGGCCACACTGGCCACGCCAAATGTCGGCCACTCCGGCCACATCGGCCACACAGTGTGCCGTGTGGCTTGAATGTGTTTGTGCAATAGACTGAAAAAGTGCCTCGCAGTGGGCTAGGTAGGTAGCATGACTTGGCAGATCTACCAGCTGAATATGCTCTATGGAGTACGCGGATAAGTGCCTGGGTGACTTCTACAGCTACAAAACATGTTTTCATGTTCAGCAAAAAAAGATATTCTTTAGATACGTCACCAAAAAACCGGGTTTACGAGGGATAATCGGGCTAGCTTTGCAGGCGACCATGTCAGGTGTGCGCCCGATGACTAATTAAGTGATGAGGAAGGTGAAGCGGGCAAGTTTAAAAATAACGCCTTATATTCAAACGCTTGCCCTTTCAGGCTCATATTCAAGTGGGAAACGTGGTTCTTCCCCCTGTTGAATTTGTGCATGCATTAATATGAATGCGAGTTAATGTTTACAACGAAAAAATATAGCTGCATACATATAGGTTGATTTAAGCAAACAATGCTGTTCGTGCATTGCCATGCGTGAAATTGCGCACGTCTGCAGCGTGCAAAAACAATCAGCGAAAAATTGCATTGTGCCCCCTCTACGTTGCACAAGCCCTTGTCCACAATACCACGATCCTTTGTACGATGCGTATGTGGGTATACTCCTACCTATTCGTGTGAGTGAACATCTACGTGCATGGTTGCGTATGGGCGTGGCTTTACGCATGCCCATGTGGGTAGTGGCTCGCGTCTTAGCGTGCGCCACAAACGTGCGCACGTGCGCACGCACGTGCACGCCCAACTCACACGTGACGACCCCAGCCATGGGCGTGGCGACGCCGGACGCGTGGTTAAGCGCCGTTCGCGAAAACGAGCCGGTGACGGTGTACGACGAGAAAAACGAGCCGACCAGGTTACACACGCCAAGCGCCACCAGCTCCTGCGAGGAGTCCTGTGCGCGTCCCTGCGCCGCTGCCGGGGTCAGGTCAGTTCGGGTTAGATCAGATCAGGTCAGACGAAGGGGGCGAGGGGGGCTCTCTTGAGAGGGGATGGACTAACCGCACAATGTAATAATTGTATGTTTCCAGTAGCGGAAAGAATGTTCAAGTGCGTCAAAGAATTTTACAAAGTCCTCGGCAGGTACGGCTATCGGCCGTTGGGAGCAGTCGCGTTAAAGGTCAGATGACGTCAGAGGGCAGGGTGGAGCACGCCCAGCAATGCGGCACGTCTAGCTTACGTCACCGAATTATGCCGTAGACTTGGAATTACGCGATCGGATAGTGTGGGGCAGGGCTTACACAGCAAGCGCAGCTTAGCACGAGGCCTAAACCCAGCAATATATCCATTCAGAATATTTGGATTAAATGTGCACAAATGCACAATAAAAGATAAAGAAGTCAATTATCACCGCGTTGTGTTTTCTTTCGGCGCAACCCCATGGACTAGGCAATTGCTATCATTTAAGTGCCAAATCCGCTCACCGGCTTACCTTCTCTTGGGCCATGCCAGGGTCCGAAGTTTGCAGAACTGGTGCAAGTTAGGGAAAAAGTCATTGCAAAAAGGAAGACATTGGTTGAATAAGGTGAATACGGTGGCACAGCTTTCAACTTGCTTAAGAAAGAACACGGGTTGGACTAGGCAAAGTTTTGAAGGGGAATGGGCCGGCCCAATTTTTTATTGAATTAACTACACGGGATTAAGCTACATAGTTTCCAAATTCATATGATGCCGTTCTTTCTGACAAAAAAAGTAAATGCAGACTGTAAAATCATGCCAGATGTCGACAAGGAATACAGCTTCGCAAAACTAAACTCTAGGACTCAGCAGGAAAAATGGCTACGACCTGTAAACAAAATACACATAAACCACGTTCCCCTAGGGATTTCCATCTTCCTTTTAAATTTGGGGAGGGCGCTGGAGCCCCCCCCCCCACCCCCTCACCCCCACTAAATAGGAAACAACGCCACTGATTTGGCCGCATCACAGGCTCAGTGCGACGGATGCTACCTGGGTTGCTCTCCTTATGACAGCTATGTGCTGTCTCATGATGTTGAGACTGAAGACGATGCACGTTGCCCTGGATTTTACTGGGTTCACATTACTGGGTTCGAAAACGGCTTTTGAGAAGCAATGCTCGGCTCGTTCTAGGGCAAATCAAACGAAAAAAAAAAACTTTTCGCCTTTTGGCAAGATGATACATTGCAGCAGCTTGCCACATTATTCGTTTTTAACCCAGCAGTGCACATATGGGTTTGACGACAAACATTTCGAAAATCTGCTGGAGCTGCTGTTCCTCTGCCTTTAGTTCCCTCACCCTTATATATAAAACCAGTAGCACTTTTGTGACAGGCAGCTGAATCCTGGGGCAGGGAACAGTTCATTGAAACGTGCTTGCCGTATTTAAATTCTACACGAATTGTTCAGCGAAGCCGCCGTCTCAGGCCGGCATATTTAAAATCGGTGGCGTACTCATGCTGTGCCCTCCCCAATCGAGATTCGTTACCGGCAATGATGTGTGTGACAAACACGGTTTTTAATTTTTGAGTTGTCTACCCACCATCCTTATTACAATATTCTGCATACGGACCAGGCTAAGAAAGTCGCTGCCATCATATAAAGGATTAATAAATGTTTATAAGACCAACAGGCATCTGGAAAATTACTATTAAATTAATGTATAATATTATATTAATATATATATATATATATATATATATGTATATATATATATATATATATATATATATATATATATATATATGTGTGTGTGTGTGTGTGTGTGTGTGTACATATATATATATATATATATATATATATATAAATCAAAGAATTAATAAATTAAAAATTACTATTGGTTATTTGATCTCAACATCTGACAAGGGCGAAAAAAAACAGGTCTGGCAGCAGAGCGCGCCACTCACCGAACGCCTTGGCGATGGCCATACACTCGATGACGGACACGAGCGGCACCACCAGCAGGCCGAGCCCCAGCTGGCGGGTCAGCTGCAGCAGGCCGGCCCCTTCGCGCGTGCCGTTCACCGCCAGCAGCGCGAACGGCGGCGGCTGCGGCGCCGGGAACCCCACCGGCACCGTCTCTGGCGGACGGCGACAGGAGGTCAAGGCTGCGGTCAAGAACCGGGTCAAGGTCATTTGAACCGGTTCAAGGTCAGTTGGGCTGGATCACGGACCCTGTCGGAAGGAACACAAAAGAAAGTGATAACAAACGCAGATGTAGAAATAGAAGGGTCTTAAGGTTATGTTATGCCATGTTAAGCTGTACTCAATGTTATGTTAAGGTGAACATGTGATGTTATGTTAACTCAACATGATATTAAGATGCAAAGAACTTTGCAAGCACTCGGCGTATCGTGATAACGCTCTCCTGAACGATTGTCTAAGGAACACATGCCAGCGTCACCAAACCTCGGAGCTTTATCGACATGCACTACTTCAGAATCAACGAACTGAAAGCCTGTGAGGCGAGCGTCAAGGGCTATATATATCCGAGCCTGAACTCATAGCATTTCGACATCTTAGTCTGAACGTAGAAGGCACGTCGCTGCTCGGGGATGCGAAGCCTAATGTCCGTTTGGGGACGGAGGCGCCAGAGCTGGCATGCTAACGCTATTGGAATGAGCATCTTTATTGTAAAGATCTTCAAGCACGATCATTTCAATGAAGATCGATGCGGTCAGTGCCACCCCCGCGAAGTCGCATCCTCCGGCATCACCAGTGGTGGAGAGGGGGCTAAGCTGATGGCGCTCCAGCGCTAGCACCAGCAGGCTGGCCAGCAGCACCACCAGCGCGTTCCTGGCGATGCTCAGCAGCCATTGGAGGGCTGCCAGCGGGCTCCGGCGGCCAGCTGAGGTGCCGCTGCTGCCCGCGCGCTGGCCCAGCCACTGCCGAAGGGGGACAATCATGCCACCCAGCTGGTGAAGGCACAACATGTGCACAGCTGCGCACACAAGCGGATAGATAACGCTGTTGGTGAAGAAACGGCAAGAACACTCACAGGCATACAAGGACAGTACGACACACAGCACCACAAACAGCACAAGTAGTAATAGAACGGATTAGCGATTTGTGATCATTATGATAATTAGCGATGTGTATTAAGAGCACCACAGACGACACAAGGCTGGTTTTCATGCAACGCCTAATATATGAATGGTTAGGTAAATTAGTAAATTAAAGTAGTAAATAAAAAGAAATTTGTCTGCAAGCAGGGATTTTTTTCTCAGTTCACCTCCCGACTACCGCACATATATCTATCTAGGTATCATAGTCCATGAGGAACAAACATCGATATTTGATCCAATCTTTGTAACGGGATTGGCACTAGCCAAAAATCAAGTTTTGAATTAAATGCACAAGTCATGCGGCGTACCCTTTATTCAGTCAATATATTTCCATTCGCCAGAGGTTTTTGATTAACCCTGCAATAATCCCGCAGATTTGGCCTTCACACGGGCGCTGTAGGAGACATCTGGGATGTAGGGGCACTTATACGACAACATTTCATTACTAATAGCTTAACAGTAAAACAGGAAGTGAATGCAGGGCAGCATTGCACTTGTTTGACATTTGATCGGATCACAAATCGCCAAATGAGATCCGAACTTTCTCTTTTTTCTTGAATATCGAAGCTAGGAAGCATTCCGGTAAGCACGACTTCTACAAATCGAGATCAGCAGGAGATCATTTTCAGGGAGGTCTCAGAGCCACAACGCAGCATCTGTTTACCCTGAGCCCGAGCAGCAGCAGGATGCATGTTGTGCCGAGCAGAAGGTCCCACAGGTTGGTCTCGTCAATGTGGCCGGCGACATGTCGCAGCGTTCCAATCATGGTCTTGCCCGACGATCCCTGCAATGGAGGAGTGGGCATGAAGTTCAGCACGGACGAGTTTGCTCACCTCCCGCAACGCCTCTTTTGAACCCAAAAGTCTTCATTGCAAAGAAATGAAAACCGGCTTCATTTTTCGACGCCGGATCAGATTCCACATGCTGCCACATAAACTGAGATTTTCAACACATATTTGAGCGTATGTAAAGATTTAATCCCTTACCATATCCACTCAGAGTTATGAAATAACGAAACTGGTCAGACGAGGGAAGATACATGGTATGTACATCGCATTAAGAGGTTTGATAAAATCTGGGCAAGTGGAGCATTACATACTCATATCTGTTTCCGAAATGTGCAAAAATGTGCTCTCAATTTCACAAATGCATGCTTTGAAAATGACTTACTTTGATTCCAAGCAGTCCCTTGAGTTGCGTGGAACAAATGGTGATTGAAGCCGCTGACACAAAACCAGAGACGACGGGAACGGAGAAAAAGTCCACCAAAAACCCTACGGAGACAATAATGGCAGAAGTCATTGAGTTTTAAGTACGCGTCAACAGCACTGGTTATCTAAGGCCAGTATAAAGACAGGAGCGATGACCATAGCTCACTACATTTGGCATATCTTTTGTTCGGCCGGGTGAAGAGGGTGCAGTTTGACTGACAGTTAACAGGGTCACTCTGTCTCGTACACGGCTCTATGATCTTCTCCATGGTCTCGAAGGCATTCAGGCTTTAAGGAGGAGTTTATAGCCGAATGTCCGTTTTTTATCATGGCGACATCGCAAGCCTTGTCGTCCTTGGCAGTGGTCCCGATAGGAAACAGGCACCGATAAACCTTAAAAATTAATGTACGGTGGTATTTAGGTTGTTGTGTCTACAAAGCTCCACAGGCAGGGGCGTTGCAGAGTATGACCAATTCCAGGCTGAGCTCAAGGCTTACGTCCTGGAAGCCGAACTTATTTGGTTCGTCTTTTGGCGGCCAGTTGGCAACTGGCCGAGAAAGCCCGGCTGAAGTAAGGGCGGCCATGGCACAGCATTGCACGTGGCAATCTCTCGACAAAAAATCCACCGAAAATTGTGATGAGGTTAAGATAGTCGCGAGAGGCTACAGCTGGAGAGAGCTTACCACGAAATGCGGATCAAATAAAAAAGCTTACAGCGACATGCAAGACAATCGGACAACATTCAGCGGTTGAAGCAAGCCTTCCTAACTGGCGAGGCGTGACAACACTCGCTGTCTGCCGGCCATCCTGCCCGGCATCCGAGCCAGTACCCAGCCTGACGAGTCCTGCCGTCAGCACCACGACTCCGGTGAAGAAGGCCAACAGCACGGACAGCTGCGGGTCGCCGCCGGCGAACTCGGCCGTCAGCAGCGACATGACGGCCGTAGGGCCGATGCTGACGGCGTCAGTCGTCCCCAGCAGCGCGTAACACAGGCCGGGCAGCAGGCAGGCGTACAGGCCGAACTGGGGACGGAGGCAGCAGGCAGGCGTACAGGCTGAACTGGGGACGGGGGCAGCAGGCAGGCGTACAGGCTGAACTGGGGACGGGGGCGGCAGGCAGGCGTACAGGCCGAACTGGAGACGAGGGCAGCAGGCAGGCGTACAGGCCGAACTGGGGACGGGGGCGGCAGGCAGGCGTACAGGCCGAACTGGGGACGGGGGGTAGCAGGCAGGCGTACAGGCCTGACTGGGGACGGTTACAGGCTGGGTAGCAGGCCGGGGCGCAGGCCGAACTGGGTACGGGTACAGGCCAGATAGCAGGCAGGCGTACAGGCCGGACTGGAGACGAGGCAGCAGGCAGGCGTACAGGCCGGAGTGGGGACGGCTACCGGCTGGGTAGCAGGCGGGGGCGCAGCCCGAACTGGGTACGGGTGCAGGCCAGGTAGCAGGCAGAGCACAGGCCGAACTGGGGAATAAATAGCACGGACTGTGCAGAAGGCGGGGGGGGGAGGGGGGGGGGGGGGGTACGTCAAACTAATCAGCAGCACACCCTGTGCGGTAAACAAACCTCTAGGCCAAAGTGAAGGAGAGTTCCCTGACTGGAGGGGATCCTCCCCTAATCTGACCTAACTGATGACTGCGCGTCAGGCCAGGTGTAACCACCCCAAAGGGGGAGGGGTACAGACGGCGCGGCAGGACGTGTATACACCAAAAAGCCACACCTGCGGCAGATCACAGGCGGCACTCCGGGCGGACAAACTGGGCACACAGGCGTCACGCTGGGGTGAGTCACGCGGCCAGCGGACATCGGACGGTGGGTCTCACGACTGTGCTTGGAAAAGCGAAACCCACAGGCCGTATGCCTCCTTTTGATACATGGGCATGTGTCGTCCAGATCGGTATCTAGGATAGGTATCTAGGATAGGGTAGGTATTTATGATAGGATAGGTCTTTAGGATAGATATCAGATAGAAGCATAACTGTGGTCGGCAGGTGGGATTGACAACATCAGATAATAAAAAAACGGCTACCAGCCCTTGCATGGCGTGAGCAGGCTTATTGGAAAGACAATCGCATCAACATGTTACGCAGGCCAGTTCGGCTTGTCGGAACGATTTGAAATCATGAATGTATTACTACGAATGAGTGAATGAAATTAATAGCGCCGACCTGGGGTCAGCTTACGGCTGAACCACCGAACTGAGGTCAAACATACGTCCGGGCCACTGGTCTGCGGTCATACACACAGCCGGGCCACTGATCCGGGGTCAAGCACAATACGCTGCTAAGGTACTGACCTGGGGTCAACCACACATCCATGTCACCCACCTGGGATCAGCCACACGGCCGGGTCATTGGCCCTGGGTCAAACACACGGCCAGGTCACTGACCTGGGGCGGCAGGCCGGCCAGCTGACCGTAAGCTATGCCCTGCGGCACGGCCATCAGCGCCACGGTGACGCCGGCTAGCGTGTCCCGCAGCAGCCGACCCCCGCCGTACTGGGGCAGCCAAAGCAGGAGCGGCAGGCGGTGGCGGAGGGAGAACGGGCCCGGGCACCGAGGTCGCCAGGCCTGCGACGAACAGCGCGGCAGGATGACATGTGGGGAGCCGTGGTGGTGTGCTGCTGTGATCAAGTTGATGCTGTGCTCTTATGCTGGGCAGCGCTGCTTTCAGGTGCTGTGCTGATGTGACGATTAGCTGTGCTGTGCGTGTGACCGGATACTGTGATTCTGTGTTGGGCTCTTTTGTTGCATCGTCAGAGGTTGACCGCTGTCGGGGTCCAATGGTGCAACAGGTGGCGACGGAGGCGCAGGTGGTGCCGCATCGCCCCGTGATAAATATGCAGCGGATGGGACGCGCCTGGCAGGAAATGCAACACCCAGCCCTGTTCCTTGCAGAACGCGATCGATTTTCGTTCACAGCCCGCGCGAGGGTATAACCGCTACGTGTAATTCAATGGCGGCAAGGCTGTTAGGGGGAATTGATGGCTCCCAATGCTTTGGACCCAAAATCCTTCGTTGAAACCGTCGTTGTGTTCAGACAGCAATAAGTAATATGCTATAGTTAGTAAGGCGGTATAGAAGGGCGGGTCTTGATTTGACTGTCCCCCGAATCCTTCGACGCTTAAAATAAATATCCCAGATCGCCAGCGTAACCTCAAGGATTGGATATTTTCCCCTTACAAATATCAACTAAATGGCCGGAATGTCAATAAAATGGATTTGGGTATAAGTGACGCTATTCTCAGATCCTCCCTCAACCCAGACAGTATATTCCGTTATATCTGACACAACAAACCATATGTAGCATGGTGTGCAGTGGGAGGCACCTGGTGTTGGCTGGCGCGTGAAACCCGTTACAGAGCTGCGGAATGATTGGTCTTTCCGCAGCACATCCAAACGATATAACACGTAGCATGACACACGTGTTGGACTTGGAGACCCACCTCGACTGGAGACCTACCTCGACTGCAGACCTACCTCGGCTGGAGACCTACCTCGACTGCAGACCTACCTCGGCTGGAGACCCACCTCGGCTGGAGGCCTGCCTCGGCCGGAGACCCGCCCCGGCTGGAGACCCACCTCGACTCTCTCTGTCCATGATAGCGGCTTGCTGTCAGAGCTGCGCCGCAGGTCAGGCTTCGGTCCATCACCACCTGTCATCTGCGACCCGTCACCGTCAGTCATCTGCGACCCGTCACCACCGGTCATCTGAGGTCAAATCGCGCCGGTCGTCGTGCCAGCTTCAGACCTGATCAGTATCAGGTCCAGACGTGATCAGTATTAGATCCATATGTGATATATGACACCCAGATGTGATACATCAGACGTATATGTTATCCTATCAGATACAGATGTTATCGCATCAGATCCGGTTGTTATGTATCAGAGCCGGATGTTATCTATCAGATCCGGAGATTTGCGTGTCAGATCCTCATGTTTTCGTATCCGGTACAAATGTAATCATCACTCCAGGGCGCTCAATGCGTATTGCCGTGCGCGGCACGTGGATGAAGTGCCCTCATGCAATGTAACTCAGTATATGCGCATGGAAGGTATAATTTCGTATCCAATTTACCGCGTGGCCGCAGCCTTCAAATTTTTTAGAGGAAAGCGGACCCACTTTGGTGAGAAGGCGTTACCTGTCTTAGCCACCTCTAGTGTTCCACGCATGTAGCATAGCCCGCTTGTCCTTAAAATTATGTATGGCGTATTATCTGTGCTGCCGAGTTCACCAATATCCACATTCATGCATCTGACGCACGTCGTCCATGCACGCGGGCACGAGGGTCACCTCCATGCCACCGTCCTGACGCACCTTCACTCTCTGCCCCACACACGACCTACATTTCCACCCTGAAGCCGCGTGTGGCGTCTCCCGCTCCTCCGCCGTCTTCACCGACACCTCGCTCCCGAGTGCCACTCCTGCACACACCTCACCTTCCCCGCAGCGTCGCGAGTGTCCCGCCGCCCTCTGTCGGCGTCGGCACTGCGCACCTGCACCGCAGCAGCGCGTCGTCACACGGGACGAGCGTCGGTCGGGCGGTCGAACTCGAACTCCGGTCGCGTCGCGCGGCACGTTTCGCCGGTCGGGCGCCGACCCCCCCCCCCCCCCGTTTGTGTGACGGGCGTCTGACGAAGCCGGCGGCGTCACGTCTGACGGATGACGGACGGAGAGCTGGGAGGGGGAGAACAGGGGCGGAGGGGCTGCTGCTGCCAGCCTTCTTATCAAGCTACAATGGCAAGCGAAAAAAAGTTGTAAATCGCGGGCAGTGATGCGTTTGTAAGTCGGTTGAATGTGTGGGAGTGTCTGGTGCGCGGTTTTAACATACTACGGGTGGGTAATTGAGCTTCCGAGTCCTGCACAGACAGGATGCGACTGAACATTTTGAACTCGGCATTTCGCTTTGTTGGCAAAACCGTGAGGTCTTGAAGCCATTGATAGGGCTCATGCCAGTTTGTCATGAGCTGTTATGGACGTGAACATTATTTTTGTAGTTGTATAGATGCAATTTATGTAAAAAGGGTCTGTTTAATGAACTGGGTCCTTTTGTGTAGGAACCGACTTCGCTGCACTGCTTTCCTGCACGCCAGAATAGGCCGTTAAACATGAGAGTACAAATCAGCAGTATGAGGTACTCCACTCTCGCTGCCCGCACTGGAGTCTTCATGGCTGATCGAACTAGCATGAACTTTAAACTGGGACCACTGGTGCACGGTACTGTTGGGATAAAAATGTTTTAGTAGCTTAGAATTCCCAGTATTTGGGTGTGGTTGCATCGCATGCCGGAGAAGTATCCTCAAAAAGTCTCCGGGTGGGAGGGGGGGGGGGGGGGCATGGCCGCTATCAGGACGAGGGTTAAGCTGCTATGTTATAGGAATAATCGCTGCACTAAATACTATACCTCATGATAGACGACATAGCCTCAGTAGGCTTCATGGACATGATATTTTGCTGAATATATTCCGCGGTAACATTTTGGACGAGTGGCACATATGTCAAGGGCTGGAAATGCCTATCTTAAAACCTCTCGCTTGGTGGGAGACATCACCCATCTGTAGTCAGTGCAGTGTCTCTCTGGTTCTGGTCTGGCTGATGGTTCTGGATTTGGGAACGAATATTTCCTAGGCGCGGATAAAAATGTTAGAAATCCGAAGTTGAGGCTTTATGAAAAACTATGAAATTTTAGTGCAGATGCTGCAGCTATAGACATAGGGGAAAGCTGTGATATGACACAAATTAACAATTCTCAGCCTAAGGTGGCGCAGTTTTTAAGATCGAAGAGAGTATGCAACTGATAGGAAAGCAGCACGGAGTGATTTTATGTATGGATTAAGCCCTGCGAGGGCTCTTTCTCCAACATCAGTATTGCCCCGGAAGGAAGTGAGATACTGCAGTTATAGCTGATATGTGGCCGCTGGCCAGATCTGCTCTCGCCTTTCTTCGTGCATGCGACGCCTTAAGTCTGGACAGAAGGGACGGACCCAAAATCTAAAATCTAAAATCCACTGCGCTGGCCTATCTGCACAAAGACCCAAACTCCCTAAATATATATCCCCTATAATAATACTCCCTAAGCACGAGGACTTTTGTCATCGCCAGCAAGTGATAATTTAGCATAAATGAACCTTCTGAAACGAGAGTGTTTATGATGGTAAATGATGCGCTGCGTTTCCTTTATCTTTTTTAAAAGTTTATCGCCTTTATTGTTATATTACAAAGGTTTCTGACAGCTTTGGCTCGAGGTGACAATTTAAGGCTGTCTCAAACTTCATCTTTGTCGGTGACAGAATATACACTTTTTCACCCATGATCAGTCACATGGCGAATTACCATCCGTAAAAACTTCGCGCATTCGTCTTTCGATTGCGAATGTTTACGCTACACGAATACGAGGTAACCGCTTTTTTTATTTGGCGGTGTCGATCCCGCCTCTCGGCCGCAGCTGTGCTTTTCCAGATGCATATGTAAACGACCATGTGCCTGTATCAGATGGAATGCATACGGTCTGTGGGTTCCACCTTTCAACAACAGCCATAAGCCCCGGACTCCGCGATGGTACCAGCGACAGTTGCAAATCAATCGAACACGTCTCACTGGTTGTCCGGCCACAGTTTAAGCTGCACACTACCACCTCCACCCGTTGGGCTCCCTCCCATACAGCCAGTTTTACTCGCGTGCCTCAAGTTATGCTTGTCCACTGGCTGCTTGCCCCACCCCGCTTTGTCTTCTGCATGGGAGGTTTGTATGCTCACTGTATAGCCAGCGACGTATCATTCGTTATGGCCGAGTGGTTCAAGCGCTGGCACCTCCCACATGGCGATCGGGGATCAGATCTCGGGCGCAACATGGCGCCTGGGCGCCAATTGTGTACTGCAGTATCTGGTGCTTCATGAAAAGGTGCGCGACAACACGCGTCGCGTTCCTTCCACTTAACGGCCTATGCTCCTTCACATTTATGCATGTACACACGTGTCTGCAGTTCAGTCTGTGTTCTTCCCCTCTTTGAACAGCATACATCTGGCCAACTGCAGAGTCGATAAGCTCTCCCAGCTTGTTCTAGAGGCTTGTCTACGGCATAGCCTGTATTATTTAAAAAGACGCATCTGCTCGTGTACTGCACAGCATGAGTTTTTCCCTAGTTGGGCCTGTGCGCAAGCCTGCTGCCCAAACTGGAACGGGAAGCCTGTCCCCAGCGGGCCTGTTGCCTGGCCGGAAGCCGCCCTCAGTACTGCATGCCTGCTGCCCGGCATACATCCGTCCCCAGTTCGGTCTAATTCCCCGACCCCGTGTAGGCTCAGCGATGACAATCGCCTCATAAAACGTTTCGTACACGTCATAACGAAAGATCAGCTGACACGCATATCCGAACTTGACTGCTACAAACATGACGCACACCTACGCCAGAATTGGCGGTGCATGCCTTGTGTGGTGGAGCTTTGTAGGGTGGGGAGGGATGTGGATTTCGCACTGTATTTGTGAGGTTGGAGTGGTACATAAAGGCATTATTTGCTTGCCATAACGGATACGCCTTTTTGAACGTTTCATGAACTACAGCTCCTGCACTTTGCCCTTGTGAGTGTGAGATAAGGTACTGCAACTTGCTCGCTTAAGGGGCTATGAGCTGGGAATTTACAGAAAAAATGAGGCGCACCATGGTCTTTACCCAATTTGCTGTGGGATGTGAAGTTCAGTTAGGGCCATACTAAAATTGAATTGAACTGTTTTGACTTAGATGGGATCTCTTGGAGAGGTATGGCAGCTTGTCTTATAGAAAGGAGATTGTAAAGTTGGGAACTAGTGTTGTTTATGGGCTTGTGCTTGGTTTCTGCACTGCAGCCAGCTGAGTGTTAGCTCCATTTTGTACCATGGGTATTCTACCAGTACCTTTTTGCTCACCATGAGTATGCATGATTCTGCTCATAACATGAGAAGTATATATACTAGCTAGATAATGGTATGTTATAAACATTAAAGCTTGTCTGAAGGCCCATATTTTGCAGGAAAGAACATGACATGATAGAATAAAATGCTTAACCAGCTTTCCCAGAAGTGTGTATTTTTGGATGCACTTTTTACCACTGGACAACATGTATGGGCCTGTAGGAATCAGAGAAGACTGATGGAGTTATGCTTTGAACAGAGCTCTAGAGATAAAAGGGTACACTATAACAAATTATTCAATGAGCCAGGAGTAACTTGTCTAAATACAAAGTTTAAAAAGTCTGTTTTGAAACTGGGTTGATGTGATTGGTATGCATTGTATGTAGGATTGCTTTGTCATGTGTGTGCTTCTCTATCATAAATATTTAGCACATTCTGTTTGATCATTGATTTTAATTACAAGCAGTGAGGTCTTGCTTCCTCAGGTTTGAATGCCTCTGTGTAAAATGGTGTGTTTGAGGTTACACTTGCTTGAGGTGGAAGGGCATACCATTATTTCAATTTAGAGCAGCAACACACCTGGGCAAGACCTTATTTTGGTGCTTACAGATGTCATTTTGCCTCAACTTGTCACAGGTACTTCTGTAATGTTGAAAATTCTCTGGGTTGTGACTTCAAATTCAGGCTTTGTGACAAACTGTTGTATTTTACTTTGTTGTGTTCCTTGTACAAGTTGCATTGTGTGTTTTAACATATGCTAACTTTGCAGGAGCTGACAGCAGAACACTGGAGCAGGGAGCAGCTGAAACTGATACTCCATTACATACATCCACTATGGACATCCTGGCTATCTCATCAGCGGCCATTCTCTGTGACTCAGACGCCCTTGTTGATGATCCTCTCCCCGTGTCGACTATCGCGGCGATCCCTCCGCACCAGCTGGCCAGCGTGGACGTGCCACCAGCTGAGGTAGAGGGCGACCCCGACCCTGGTCCCGACCATGACCCCGACGACCCCGCCACGCTGGTCGGCCCGGCGCCCGCGCCGGCCCTCCCCGGCAGCCGGAGCCGCCGGCCGGCCGCGGTCGAGGCGCGGCCTCCGGCCCTGCCGTTCACCTGCGAGCGGTGCGGCGAGGCGTGGGCCGACCGCCTGCTGCTGGCGGCGCACCAGCGGCGGCACGGCACGGCGGACGACGTCCTCACCTGCGACCGCTGCGGCCGCGCCTTCAGCCAGTCGCTGGCGCTGCGCCGCCACAGCCGGCGACACGCTCCTCCCGCACCGCCGTCCGGCCAGCGGGAGCTGGGCCGCGCCAAACGCCGCACGCGCGCGCCGCATCGCTACGTGGACTCGGCGTGGGCCGGCGGCGGCCGGCTGCGCGTGGCGCCCGAGCAGACGCTGGCTTGTGGTGTCTGCGACGAGGAGCTGCCCGAGGACGAGATGCGCGCGCACCTGGCGGCGCGGCCCGACACAGGCTTCTTCCGATGCGGCACGTGCAGCGGCGTGTTCGGCCAGCGCTGCCAGCTAGAGCGGCACGGCTGCGAGCAGCGCGCGCCGCCTCGCGCGAAGCGGCGCAGGGTCGCGCGGCCGGCCGCCGGCGCTGCCACCGCCGCGCCGGAGAGCGATTCAGATTGGGCAGGGGGAGAGCCTGAAGGCGAGGCGGACGCGGAGGCGGAGGCGGCGGGCTCGGCGGACGAGTCGACGGCGCTCGCGTGCGACGTGTGCCAGGTGAGCTTCGCCAGCCGTCGCAATCTGAACCGGCACCGCGCGCAGCACGACGGCGGCGCGCGCTTCGCGTGCGAGGAGTGCGACCGCTCGTACGCGCGGCTGGACGACCTCACACGCCACTCGGTGGAGGCGCACCGGCAGGAGCGCCGCTTCCGCTGTCCGCGCTGTGTGCGCAGCTTCACCCAGAAGCGCATCGTCGATTACCACCTGCGTTCGCACGCGGGCGACCGGCGCACCCGCGCGCAGGCGCAGCCGCCGGCCGTGGAGGCGCAGCCGCAGCCGGCGCAGCTCGCCGAGCCGGCCGAGCCGGCCGAGCTGCAGCCGGTGCGCTACCACTGCGAGGAGTGCGCGACCGGCTTCGACACGCGGCGCCGCTTCCTGCGCCACCTGCAGCTGCGCCACGACCAGGCGACGCCGCGCTACGGCTGCGAGCTGTGCGACGCCACGTACGCGCGCATCGACGAGCTCACAGCGCCACACCATGCACGTGCACGGCCAGAAGCGCACGGTGCCATGCCCGCGGTGCTCGCGCCGCTTCACGCAGCAGCGCATCGTCGACTATCACGTGACGGGCCACGACACGAAGCGCGTGTACGTGAAGGCGCGCCGGCCGCACGGCTGCGCGCAATGTCGGCGCGCCTTCGCCACGGCCTCCGAGCTGGCGGCGCACGAGTGCCGCGTGGCGCGCGCGGCGCGGCAGCGCTGTGTGTGCGACATCTGCGGCCGGCGCATCAGCTGCCCGCAGGCGCTGCGGCGGCATCGGCTGCTACACAGCGACGAGCGGCCGGCCAAGTGTCCCACCTGCGCCATGGCCTTCATCGACGACGTGGCACTGGCCAAGCACGTGCTGACCCACTCGGAGGAGAAGCCGTTCCTCTGCGACCACTGCGGCAAGGGTTTCCGCTTCAAGGACTACCTGCTACGGCACACGCGCTTCCACACCGGCGAGCGACCCTACGCGTGCAGCGGCTGCGATAAACGCTTCGCCACGAGCGACACGCTCAACCGACACTTTCTGATCCACACGGGCGAGAAGCCGTTCGTGTGCCACGTGTGCCAGCGCCCGTTCCGGCAGTCGCAGCAGCTCAAGACGCACATGAAGGTGCACGAGCGGAAGGAGCTGCTGCTGGTGCTGGACGCGCCGCTCGTACCCGCGGAGTGAGGCGTCCCCTCGCCCAGAGCGCGTGTGTGGCGCATGGGACGAGGCGAGACATTGGTGGAGCCCGGCGGTGCAGGCCGGCCGTGGTTTGCAGCGTACGTGCATGTGGATGTTTTTGGAAGGGGGGGGGGGGGGTGGACTCCGAGTTTGGAGAGGGCGCTGGTAATCGAGCGGGTGTAGTCGGGGTGTGTGCAGTTAACAGGTTCCCGTACCCGCAGCCAGTTTATCGAGGATGAGGTGTAGCGTGGCTCTTTCGAAGGGGGTTTCCCGGGTTGTTGGCTGAACGGTGTAATCGTGCTGCCGTGCTAGGTGGGTGCTCGTGTGTGTGTGCGTGTGCATGATGAGTCATGACTAACCATATACCTGCGCGTCAATTCAATGTGTTTTGCTATGTACTTTACGTTCAAGCGTGTGTGCATACGTTTTGGAATGCGTGGGGACTGGTTGCTTCATATTACCCACCCTGCATTCTCGTCGGCGTTATTTCGGGGCATATAAATCAGCAATTTAGTTCCTTACGCTTGTAGTTGAATTGAATTTAGTTCCAATCAGTATATTATACAGCTAGCTCCGGCTCCACATGCGGTGCGTAGGTTGCACAGCCTATATACGTATGCTCCGCTCTCGCCATCTGCGTGCAAGGTGTTGCTGTTGGTGACAAAAGCCAGAGTTTAACCCAAACGGAGCTTAAGTGTTGCTTTGAGTGAAATGCTCGCAGTGAGCCTCTGAGCTGTTTTGTGCAGCGAGCGACACGGGGGTGTGGTTTTATGTTTGGTTGGGGTAGCTTCAACGCGCGACTTGGAGACCAACTGCGTCAAATGCGGGAGAAACCCTATTATGTGTGCTTCGGAATTAAGTTTAACTTTTCCCTGCTCAGCCCGCGATTTTTATTGTAAAACTATGCCCCCAAGAGCAACGCATTCGTATGGGATAGGTTGTCGAGAGGCATTGTATACAACTTATTGTGTTCCGTGTTTGTAATACACATTAAAGAAATGCTCGGTCTTTCACGTCGTCTTGGCCGGGCAGCTGTAAGCATGGCATGACAGCCAGGTAGGCAGTGGAATACGTTGTCAGACGTCTGTCCGACGCCTGATGTGTGCTTAAATTGTGTGATGTCTGAAACCTGAAAATTGTGCGGGCTATATCCTACCCGTTCAAACCTTTACTCGGGCTCGGGGTGTAGCTGCAGCGGAATAGAGTCAGCTGGTATTCTGAATGCAGGGTGGATTCGTGCCTTCTGAACCGTTTGGATAAAACAATGCCTCGGTGATTCGAGGAGCGGATACGTAAGCAGCGCGACATATTCATTGTGTTTATAACTGATGCGTGCACTTTTTGTTAAAATAGGTGCCCTTTATAGACCCCTATGACAGCCATAAAGCGGTGTTCCTCGAAAGCTAGTGACGCTGGAATCGGCTACACCACATTCGATTCTGGAATTGAGCCATATCTCCCTGGGTCGGAATCAGTCAAACCAAGAGTTGCTCTGCGTTTCTCAGTCTGTTGGAATCGGCTCCGCCTACGTGATTGGTCGGATTCGGTGTCACTTTCCTGCACCGAAATCAAACACCACTGTGCTACCATCCAGGGGACGGCGACAGTTCATCAAATGATTCTCTTGCCCGTTCAGCCACCGACGCCAGCGCCAGTGGACTTGAGCGGCAGCGGCACCTACTTCTAGCGCTGGAGATGGCCACACTGGACCATAATGTCAGCGATGTGCAAAGTTCCTGAGGTCTAGGGGATGTCAAAGATGGCCATTAGTTTCTTGGATCTTGTGCATTGGGAGTTGTAGAACATAGGCACTTGGCATGAGCAATAGCCAGACCGAAAGCCCTCCTGGCTCTCATGAATCTGGGCTCAGTCATCGCATTGGTTCAATGGATTCGATGGTAGTATATTCCACTTCCTGGTCCATAGATAGGGTTTGCAAACTCAGATGCAGCACAAGGCATGTACACGCATCGCACTGCAATATATTTCCGCGGGAAATGTTCAGCAAAACCGACAAAAACCTTATTCACCTGCAGAGCATCACCGAGTGCATCTGCAAACGTCAGCACGCTCGCAGGCGGACACGTGGTCATATAAGCTCACCCAAGCTTGACACAACCTCAGCTCATCTTTCGCAGATGCGCGAAGAAAGCAAATGCTATCAGCTGTACCTTTAACCAAATGCTTATAGTGTGGTTGGAATCGTAGCTCATCCCAGTATGGACCACTGATTTTCAAATTTGTTGTGGTCGATGCCAACTTAACTCAGCAAATCTGCTGTTTTCTCTCTCGCTTACGACATTGCCCATTACCAAGCACCCGTAAGGATCCGAGATGCCTAACGCGACGCTTCCGGGTCGAACACGACAAGCATTGCCACTTTCCCGACCGAGTCAGATTCCGAAAACGCGCTTGGCAGTACGGCATATCATAAACGTCGTGATATGGAAGCGCAAAAGTGCATTACTGACGTCACGGTGCAGCCCGAGGAGCTTGGGAGCGTGAGGTATGCAAACATGATGAGCAGCGTTGAGTGTACTAAACGGCAAGAACATGAATTTTAAATCGCGTAGAGCACCTCGTGTATGAGAAGCTGCATGTTTGGATTTTACGTTTTCCAGCAGCATCCTTGCCACCAGCCGTGATAGTCTAGTGGTTAGGACCTCGCGTTGTGGCCGCGATAACCCCGGTTCGAATCCGGGTCACGGCAGGGAAAATTTTCTGTCATGACGAATCAGATTCAGTATGTTAACTGACAGTATTGGTTTACTAGCGCCGAATCGGACTTCTGTTGTCAGGGCATAATGTGCTGTACTGCATATGACAGGTTTGGGGAAATGGCGTCAGCTGCCAATTGCAAATTTTGGCCAAATGGCGTCACAAAGACTTCAGTTCGTAGTTGGAGGTTCCATGAATATATGATGAATATATATATATATATATATATATATATATATATATATATATATATATATGTGTGTGTGTGTGTGTGTGTGTGTGCGTATGTGTGTGTGTGTGTGTGTGTGTGTGTGTGTGTGTGTGTGTGTGTGTGTGTGTGTGTGTGTGTGTGTGTGTGTGTGTGTGTGTGTGTGTGTGTGTGTGTGTGTGTGTGTGTGTGTGTGTACAAGATGAAATCCAATGCACATAGTAGAACATTCACGCACAATGCAGGATCCATTCGCTTTTCCTGGGCGAGCAGAACAAAAGACAGCCTACCGACAGGCCAGCCGGTGAACCGATGTCGTGGTGAAGCACAAAAACAACGAGGTTGCGAAATCGCCCGGCCATCACTCACGTTCGGCAGTGCAGGTATTCACCCGCCGCTGCTATCAGTTGAAGGCGATTGCAGAGCGGCAAGACATTCGAGAAATCTGCCCGACTCGGACAAACAACACGTCGTAGAGAGCAGCGAGGCAGGGCACCTGCTGCTGTATTTTGGTGACTGTCGCCGCGCTGCAGTCTGCTCCGCGGCTAGCGGCGGAAAACTGCGAAAAGGACCGAAAGGAACGAGTCAATCTTTAAGCAATGCGCCAGTTAATGCCAACCGACAGCTGGTGCGTTTTGCCCCCACTTTGGTTTCCGAGTGATGACAGCCAACCCTGCAGAGACAGCGACATGGCCTTACAGTCTGCTTTCCAATACCCGTGTGTCATGTGTCAAACAGGAAGGCAAAGGTCAGGCCAAGAAAAGTTACGTATCTTGTTTAACTTTCTTCTTACGTTTCTCTTTTAACTAAAGTGACGCATATTGCTAGCTCATCTGTATTAACCTCGGTATCAAAGCACTAGCAAGGTGTTTTCCTGTCCATGTTCCTTCAAATTCCACCTAAAAATCCCAAAATTCAAGTCGCATGCTTTCGTCTTTATCCACCAGCTGTAGTTCCAGTCATGGATTTAGGAAGCAAACGCAGCGTGTAAGCATACCCCTGCCGTGTAACAATTTTATCGTCCTCGGCACGAGTTCTCTGTTTGTTTGCAATGTTTGCAAAGGCCCTGACCAAACTAGCCGGTGGATCGCTTCCAGCTCAACAACCACTTTTGTCGGAACATTTTACTTGTCTGGCTAGGCCGTCCCTGTTTCAGCCTGGCCCGCTAGCCCGGTTAACAGCTAAATGGCTTTCACGTCCAGTGGAAGACGGTTACAAAACTGATTCCGGAGCGCGATTTACAATGTCTACGACATGTTGAGTGGATTACTAGCATGATTTTTCAAGCCACATTTTTTGATCCATGAAAAGCTCAGGACGGCCTAAGCCTTTTTCATCTTCGCTTGCAGTGTTCATCTAGGAGCGGCGTCTATGACTTTTGCGCGCACGAAGTCAACGTCGCTGACATTTGCCGTTCCCATCGTCTGAGGGAAGATACTGTTTTCGTAATCCAGCATTACTGGATATGATTTCCAGAGCTGACGCGTTGTTGAACCGGAGTGACATGTGAGAAGGCCCGCTGGCTGGGATCACACCAGACCCGGGCGGTCACGTCAGTTCCCTTTCTGTTTCCTTTCTGTTAGTGCTCTGGCATGAAGTGCAGGACAACCAATCACTATCACAGGACTTCACTTCTGCTATTGTTTCGATAAAGGCATGTTGCCGAAATATCAATCCAGCCATATCCCTATTCTCCTGGTTTTTCTCAGAGGAATAAAGCTAATAATACTGTTATCCATATGAATAATGCTCCTCCCTAACACACTGAACAACTCACGCAATCTTTTGCCACATGAATGCGTGAGCATAGTTAAGCACTTACGCAACCTACATTTTCGGCATCGTGCCAGCATTCATGTCATTCCATAAAGCCATCCAACCCGTGTGCACCGCTCATCCTATTTTACTGGGCCCTTCTCTCGTTCATCATGAAAACCTTCTCTCAACAGCGTCAGAGGACTGCCCGCAGTTATAACAGGGGCGGTAAGGGGTCCCCTCTTATTTCGAAGATGGTCTTCTGCCTCATCGCACCACAGTTGCATAGCCGGTGGGGAAGCAACTTCGCAGCCATAGCAACTTGGAGGTGTAAGACTCACATTCGTTTTATTATTTTCACGCCAGATGGCTCCTGACGCACTGCTCGAATTTTCCCTTCGTATGGGGAGGGAGGAGGGGGGAGGAGAGGGGGGCTTAAGAGCATACATCAAAGGTTTGTCTGAAATGACTTGCAAACAGTTTTGACTTTTGAACATGCTGGTAAGGTTTTGGATTTCTGAGTTTACACCACTTGTACACCACTCATGAGTATAATCTAGCTTTTGATATTGGTGGTTCTGAGGCCAGAAGGTTGAGGTTAAGGCCAGAAGCCATACAACATACCTATCTGGAAAACAAAATTCGCATTTTCTGCTAGGTTGAGGTCTCATTTCGCGACATGGGCCTCTTGCCGTACATTGGCTCTCACCTCATCTCAACTCCGACTTTACCCGATATTTCATAACTGGGGCTTCCTTTCGATCATATGACATCACATTGCTGGTCGTGGCCTGTCTTCCTGAACTCATCATTGCTGCTGACCGCGTACCTTATGACTTTCGTGGGCCTTCCAGCATTGCAAAGCGAGCAAAATTGCACGTTTCCCTCTGTGCCTGACGACATGGAGGGCGGCTGGTCATCCAGTTCGCCCGGTGACGCCCCCCCCCCCCCCATGCACGACACCAGCGGTGACATCATGACTGGAAAGACCCTGATGAGTCATACGTTGACGCGTGATCTGGTTGGAGGTGCCCTCTAAATGCGCACATTGTCAGGGCCGAAGCTCATCTTGGGTTAAGGCATTTCAGCTCATCGACAACCTTAGCGACACCTTGCAGGCTGGGATAGCTCAATTTAACGCACACGTCACGAAACACCCACTCCGTAACGTTCCGGATGAGGAGAGGAGCAGCATCCTAGCGACCAACTCAGCCCGGACGCCTGGCGCCTTTCCTTCGTTCAGAGACCTCATTCGCAGCCCCTCCCACGGGGCCGTGACCCGGGGGTCCACCAGCCGCCTCGGGCAGCCCCGGCCCACGCTGGCAGCGGCGTGCTTAAATGAGGGTGTTCGCACGCAGGAAAGAGACAGCCTGCCTCGGTTGTGCTTTAATCGGTGTACTGAGACGGGAAAGACGTGCGTGCTTTGCCGTGACGCATCAGGGGAAAACCGCGTACCACGATAACCTGCGCTGCACGAAAATGCACGACATGCGATACAGGGTTCTGCGCATTTCAGGCACGGATCATGTACACAGAAGGCGTTCGTGCGTCCACCCTTTGGCTCGCTCATGGAGTCGATGACATCTGAGGGATTTATGATGAACCAACACGCAATCTGGGTCCGTAGAGAACTCGCATCGGAAGGCATGTTGGTTCAGCACATGTTTCGACCGCAATCCTGGCAACTGGCTTACCTCTGGCCTCGATCCGGGCACTTTGAAGCATTGAATGACTGGGCTAATCCTTGTGTATTTCCTTATCATGCATCTTTGTATGCACTGAACATCGGTGTTTACATACCGCCGCACTAACTGCACAGTTGATGCAGCCAACAATCATGAGAAGCCAAGCGCTCGTGTATCCACGGACAAAAAAACACCCATGAAGCACAACAAAGTGATATGTGTGCCGAGGATCGTGCAACACGCTCAAGATCCTCGTGCAGCCATCAGTACAGTGAACATTGGAGACGGACATGAGAGCACCAGTTACCTGGTTTTGCCAGCGGTACAAACCATTAAAATGTTCCACTATTAAATATCATTGGCAGTACAGGGAACTAGGCGAAGGAACTACATGGTACAGCGTGTAATCAATACTATAGCAACAAAATCAGCGTGCATGCAGTTGCCCCTTATATTTATGTCAACACTTGCAGCAAGTAGCTCCCAAGAAACCGCCCCATCCTTAGAAATAGTCGGTTTGTTAAAGGTACGCTAACAATACGGCTAGCTTACCACTCGAATAATGTAAACAACTTCACGCACGAAAACAGTAAACAGCTTCACACGAAACTTGTCAAGGAGCTGAGTCGCTGACGTTGAACTGGAGGTTGCCGCATCGCACGAGCCTTAGCATGCCCTCAATTCACTCATGTCCGAGGCAGCAGTGCCTTACGTTTGCTGGACGACATTCGAGTGGTCGCGAGTCCGCGGAATCTGTCGCCACTCTGACGTCATCACGCTTTTCCACCCGCCACTGGCGTCTCTCCATCTGCCATTGGTGAGCATTCACTCGCCATTGATGTCGCCATGCGTCAAAATATTCGCCACTGACATCAGCACGATTCTCCGCCAGTCGTTGACGACTGTCCAGCTCTCACTGGAGATCTTCTATCTGTCGTCAGCCATCTTCTACCTGTCATTGGCGATCTATGCCTGTTGCTGACTCTCTTTTACCTGTCAATGAGGTCACCGGGTTTCTTCACCTGTCCTTGGTTACCTGTCAACAGCGTTCGCACCGGGCCTGGACGACGCAGAACCTTTTAACCAGAGGTCACAACTGTAGCTCACACTGCGCCAGACCCTGGAACAGCACTGCGTTCAAGACCCACTGTCCTCGCGTCCAGGCGCAGAGCCACTGCACGCGGAGTTGACCCTCGGGGCAGCACCGCAGGGCAGCTGTCCAATCGGACCCATTCACAACGTCTCTTCATTTGGAATGGACTCCACGGCGGCGCGGTAGCACAGAAGCACGATAGCACGGTAGCACGGTAGCACGGTAGCACGGTAGCACGGCGGCACAGCGGCCCCGGCGGCCCCAGGCCCGCTGGACGGTCTGTGCCCGCCCTCGGACAGCACCGCGCCGTGGTCGCCCTAGCGGGCCCAGCCGCGGGCCCCACTGCACTCGGCGTCGGCCCTAAGCCAGCGCGGCGCGCGCGACCGCCGCCAGCAGCCAGGCGGCGCACACCGCCGCGGCGCACGTGCGGCACGTGGCGGACGCCGCGGACGCCGCATCGTCGGGCCCGTGCACGTGCCGCTCGTGGAGCGGGTCGCCGCCGTAGTCGGGGTCGAGCACGGCCTCCTCGGGGTCGAACACGTAGTCGGCGTAGTCGGGGCTGTCGTAGTTCCAGTAGCGTGTGGCCGTGTACAAGCGACCCGTGCCGCTGTTGCAGAGCTCGCCGCGGCAGTAGGAGAGGCAGCGGCTGCTGCCGTCGGTCTGGTCGTCACATCTGCGGGCAGAGGCGCCGGCGCTGTCAGGGGGCCGAGCGGGACCAGAGGGTCGGCTCCAGTCGGCTGCAGTTCAAAGTCACCTATTTGATCAGTAAGGGAGCAGATTAAGCATGTGTTCCATCAAGCTATTGTGCCATTGGGCTGCATTATTAGGAAATGTGAAGCGCCTCACCAATTTTCATCAGCCATTCGCTAGCTCGAGAGACACTGCCGACAAGTCAGCTGAGTGCAATGCCTGTGCGTCCCCGCGAGTGAAAGCTTTCACAGCAGCCGCGGTCGACGCTGGTCACGTGCTCACCGCCTGCTTCACTTTTTCCAGCTCGCCGGGCATGACACTGACGGTAGTTCTGCGTCACGTAACTCCCGCATCGTTGAAGGCGGCGGACCAGGAAAGATGGCGACGTTGAGGCCTTGGATATGACTCACTTGCCTCGGCCAAAACTATTGCCGCTTGACAAGAGAAAGCAGCTGTGAATAGCCGGTAGGAAAATCTGTCTAAGAGCAGGTCATTGCTATTAAATTTTCGCTCACTAAGTTTGCAACCGTCAGCAGCAATATACCCAATCAAAGACCCGAGCCTTAGTTCATCATAGCCTTGTGTCAATCGTCGTTAGCCCCGCGAAAAATTCCGGTCATAAGCGATGCATCACACACTGCCTGGAAAGTGGAACTGGAGAGTCGTTTCAGGGCACTTTTTACCACAAACATTGCCGTGGCATTTCCAAAACCGCCATTCCGAGATTCCCTACCTCGGGTGACCACAGTGTGGCGCGTACCCTGTCTGTGGTGAACGATAACAATGTTGAAAGTGTAACAGCCCCTTCTATTGTTTTCTATATATGTGAGTCAGTACGATAGAAGGGCTTTATTGACCTTATGTGTATATACTGAATATCAAAATTCCTCTCTATGAATCCGTCTACACGCAAGCTATATTCTGAATCACGTTGGATGATGGTGATATTCGCCAGAGCAAGGATGCATCTGACCTGTAATCACAGCGCCGATGGATAAGTCAGCCTACCTCATCCGTCTGCTATGGCCACTCGCACCAAATGGCAGAACCTAATACGCGGACTGTGTAAATTGAACGCCATCGCTGGTTGCGTTATGCTTGGCCTCCTACTACCAAGCGTCCTTCCACCCCCCTCCCAAGCAGCCTACCGTTTGAATCCTGTCAACAACAGCAGCACACTTCTGACGCCTCCTGCCGCCCTTTCACGGCAAGCTATTGCGGTCACACCCGAAACAGTGACGCAACATGTCGTCACGCTTAGCCCCGCACCACGCAAAGCAGCGCAGCAGCCGCAGTCTTTCCGGAAGGGAGGCGCGCTGGCTGGCGCCGCACTCCAGTTCGGCTCCGTCGCTATGCGGGCCGCCTGTCGTGATTGGCGGAGGCGATCGCGCCGCTCAGCGACGGGTTCTGGCTCAGATTGAGGGCTGGATTGAAGCGCCCCGCGACGCCCACCGTGACCGGACCGTTATGGCGTGTCACGCTCAGTGACGGACTGGACCGGATCCAGTTCCGGCAGATGTGCTGACGCCCCTGCCGCCTCCAGTGGCTGAGCTCCACTAATCTGCCCCAGCGTCTGATCCGATCCTCCAGCTTAGGCGCTGCGACCCTTCTGATCTTGCCACCCTCGCTGCGCGTGACCTGACCTGAACTTACCTGGCCTAGCCTGACCTGACCTGACATGATCTTCCCTGGCCTGACCTGACTTGACCTGACCTGATCTTCCCTCCAGCGCCCTCCTTCCAGCTGACCTGTTGTAGCTGAAGCGGGACTCGAGCCAGGTGGCGCACCGGCGGCGCAGGGAGATTATGCTGCCGTCTTTGGCCTGGTGGCGCTCGGTGACGCAGCGCGAAGTGCCCCGCCGGCAGCCCGCGATGCCGGCCAGCTCCAGCTTCGGCTGCACGTGGCAGCTGGAGCGCTGCGCGGTTGTGAAGCAGTCGTAGCAGCGCGACACGTCCTTGGTGGAGGCTGCGGAGAGGACAAGAACGTCGGCGGGACGACAGAGGACAGGGTTCGACACCCGTCACCAGCACGATTATGTTCTCATCCCGACTGAGAACGATCCCTCAAAAATCGCTGTTAGTCCCGGTGCTAATTGCTAGGTAATGTTAATGTAATTCCAGTGCTGTTAATGCCAGTGTTAACTCCATGCAGTGTGGCGTAAGCTGCACCAGCAGTTGAGGGTTCCCTTCTGCCGATTGTTGGTCCTGGTAAATAATAAAGTAAGCCATGACGCGATCCTGGGACGTATCACATGATACTTAATGACACCATCTGGGAAACGGTACGATACCTAGATTTATATGTCTGGGTTCGATTTCTTCCGTTCGCACTGTTCACTGCCCAGTTTCCACCAGGGATAGAAATGTTGTTGGATTTAAGATTTACGTAAAAGCGGAAAAGGTTCGGCAAGTCTGGTATTCCAACTATATGACACAATGGTTATGCAGGGAAATTGGAAGACTTACAGTCAGATCAACTTACACCACACACACACACACAGCACACACAGACACACACACACACACACACAAACACACACACACACACACACACACACACATATATATATATATATATATATATATATATATATATATATATATATATATATATATAGCCAACTGAAAGCACTGCATTCTGCTGGAAATGCATTATTCTGAAAAAACAATCATTTGCACAGGAATTGTTTTAAAAATTCTGACAGCGCACCTTTTAACCTGCAGCATATCTTCAACGTGGTGCCTCTGATATCTGCATGAGAACCAAGGTATCAGCAGATATAGAGACGCCGCTGTAAGCATGCTAAATATATATATATATATATATATATATATATATATATATATATTCTAAGTAACGGCCGCTATAGATAATATGCCACAGCTAGCAGTGTTTGATATGACCGCTTCAAATGTTTGGTTGCTATGATTTGGACATTGAGCGTCTGTTGTAAAAACGAGTCACAAATCTCTGTATGAGCTTGCCAAGGAACCGTTGACCCCGAAAAAAGCATTATCGCTGATGGGCGTCGAGCGCTAGTGCTGCTTTGCTCAGGCTCAAAGTTATAGTCCATTGTTTGCCGCAATTTTATAGAACATTTAGGTCACGTTGAGCTGATTTTTGTATAAGGATTATATCTTGCATCGAATGTGATGCGTACGCCTCACAGCAACATGCCAGTATAGAACAGCGCTGTGTTAACCGTCTTCCTTACTAGCACGCCTGGGAGCGAATGGCAAGAGTCCCACGATATGACCTCGTGGCAGCCAGCGTTTATTACCCGCGCGTGACATCAGTGTGACTGATCACAAACCTGCGTCGTCTGTCGGTCCAGTAAAATATCAACCAATCGAGTGCGGCGGCAGCTAGGGAAAAATCTCACGTGACATTTGTGCATTAGTCACGTGCGCCAGATTTGGTCAAAGACGTTTGTAATGTCAGTACGTTCAGTTAAAAGTCGCGATCCAGATCCAACAATTTTGTGCAAGCTGTGTGTCATGTGCACGAGATGAAGTTAGGTGCTCTGGTAGGGCCCATGGGTGTGACAACGCCTCCGAAATTGAGGGAGGGCAAATCAGGATCGGGGATTCAAACCGGACACTGGGGCTTGGAGCCGTCCCTGCCCCTCTGGGTAAGGACGGCTCCGCCTGCTTTCACACTTATGTACTGTGTGATCTGTGCTCACGTACTTTATAAATGGTAAGCTTTTCGTCGAGCGGACGTGCGATTTGTGTCCCAGATGGCGAAGGCTTCAAGTAAATATGGTGTCCGGTTACCAATGCGAGCCCCATAGCGTCGTCCAATCGGTGTGTGCTAGTGTAGCTAGCATACACTGGTGCATATGACGCTAGGGCTAGGGAATGATTATTTTCAGGTTAAAAACTCCCAGCGCAAGATGTGTGATTTTAAGCACAAGCGCCAAAACCCTTAAAAGTCTTCCTTTCGACAAATCCTGGAGCGATCGATGTCTGGTGACACAAATGGCCAGTGTAGTCAATTATTGCGCTGCAGACAAGTCGGTGCATTTTTATATGGCCCAACAACTACTGTTTTTAACGTCCTCCCACATAGATAGCTACACAAATGTTCTGTTATGCTTTTGTACGCGTTCTCCTCGACCAGGTTCACTCAGCCTCATGCAAATTGATAATCCGATTGTCGAATAGCCATGCATATTAGAAATACGAAACTGCTCATTATGTAAGCCAGCACATGGAAAGATCGAGCAAGCTTCTAGGATTGCGTCGGACCTAGGTATTCTAATCTCTCCGCCAACTTCTTATCACGCTCAGCACACACAAAACTTTCTCCTTAATCACAGCCGCATATTTGCGAGCATTTCAAAATTTCCTGCGTACACGCCCCGCATAAATCTGGTAGCTGGTAGCCGGCAGCTGGTGACAGGCGTCACCAGAACTCGATGCCCGAGCCCGGGCCCCGGCACGGCGCGTTCTGGTTGAGCCAGCTCTCTTTCGCCCGGTATGGTCCGCCGGGCCTTTGTTCCCTGCGCCACGAGGCGTGCTTCCTGCTCGCCACGACCAACGCGGAACAACAGCGGAGCCAGCCGCGCAACGTACACCGGTGCACCCGTGTGGTGCAGGCGCAAGGGCGAGGGAACGGTCGCCGTTGGTGCTGGGGTCGATTTGACGTGTCCTGCAGCTCCGCCGTTGCAGCGGCCATGTCCGCCGCGCGATGTTCCATGTAGCTGAAGGAACAGAGCAGCTGTCTAGGCGCCGCACGTCTCGACTCTGTTCACGAAAGTCTATCACGACCATCGTGACTTTCGTGACTCTCGTGACTGTCACGGCAGCACAGCGGACACGGGCGCGGGCGCTGGGGGCGGCCCTGCGGCCGGCGGCCCCGGCCCTGCCGCACCACACACCATCCATCACGGGCCCCGGCACGAACATGCCGGCACCCGCGCTCACGGGCGCTTCAAGGCTCTAGAAATGGAGGTGCAGACGGGACCGAGTTGCGCTGCCTTTGGTGATTCAGCTGATTTCTGCGCATCCTGCGTAACACCTACGCATTGCTCGAGTGATGCAAGATCGGCAATGAGTGGCTGTCGTAGCGTGATATGTATTTGCGTATGCGTTAGCGACCTCATGTAATTTTTCAAACTCGATGTATCGCCATCAGTCGGTGGCAGGACCACCTTCAGCCACTAATGTGCTTAGCGCGGCGCGATAAGCGGTTTGTGAATAACAGGAATCACCCGATGCCTCAATATACTCTGATGTTTCAAAACTCACATATGATCAAATGAGCTGAAGATCGTATGACGTCACATGACGTCACAGCATATTCCTGGCGCATCCAGATATATTTGGATGTCCCGAAAATCCGTACTGGGTGCTAGAACACACGTCCTCACCACCAGCAAATTTCGCACAGAGTTTTAGCCATGTCCATGTCCTCTGATGTAAGCAAAAAAGGCGCTCAGCTCCTTTTTTGCATCATGAGCTAAGAGCTCTTGTGTTGCGATGTTGGTTTTCAATATACCAGGAGGTACTGCTTAAACGACGTTGTAGAGCAAACATTGGGTGCATTGTAAATACCGACATTCCAAAGTGCGCTTATGATCGCAAAAGTCTCCATCAGCCTTGATCGCGAGTTTCCAGTGTGCTGTCAGATAGCAGTAGGGTGACGTAACGTCACCACCCAGCCACATGTCGGCATGTGTGTGCGCAGACGCTAAAACATTGGTCACGCGTCTCCACGATCCGACAACACGTGGCCGCTCGATCAGCCCGTGGCGCGAGTTGCCACGGACAGCCAGAGGCACGGGCCACCATGGTCAGACGCTGCCACGTGTTGTCATGCTCGGACAGCGGCACGTGTTATCATGGATGGACAGTAACAGGTGTTATCACGGGCACGTTTTTTCCGTGGCGGGCGCACATCGAACAACTGGTGGAGTGGTATGTAATATGTAGCTCAAGTGCCGACACAATTCAGTTCCAATACCTCTTTATTGCCTTTTCCTCAGCTGCACGCTGCACAATTGTATGGAGGAAATGATGGGTTGTAACTGCAGTGGTTCGTTCCGTTCTACTGGAGTTCGTTCGGGAAGACAATGCCCGTCACAGATGGAAAGTGCGCACGGCTTGCAGCGGCTCTCTTCGCGTTGCCACAACGTATCATTGTCATCTCGTTGTTTTCCAGAACACGGGAGCGGTGGATGGGGCACGGGTGTTGAGGTTCCACCATAGTGTGAAAAAGGCTTGCCTGCGTTATCAGCACAGCAGTTATTAGACAGGTGCCTAATGCGATACCGAAGTTGAAGTGCACACAAAAAAGGCTAAACAAAAGAGAGTCCATCGTATGTCATCTACTGGTTGTCATACAATTGTATATTTGGTACCAGATTAGGTCTGATAATGCTGGCGTGCAAATGGTTACAAAAGGCTTTAAACCCAGCGAGTGCGAACGAAACAACCGACAGAACTGGGATCACGGTCACACCACAGCAGATCAGGTGCAGTCCTGCTGTCTTCTGGTGGCAGCTTTTTCTAGTTTCACCACTGCTGATATGATTGTCTCTATATTTTGATGTGAGAGGCGGGTCTCAGGAGACCTTTTTATGATCTCTCCTATTTCTTCGCCTATCCAAATCATTGGCAGAATTGTACCTGGTAAAACTCGATGCGACTCTCAACACAAAAAACTCACCTCTTTATTGAAATAGGTCTATCATGAAACAATGTTCTAACGTGACGTCGTTGACATGACTGTGCGCACCTTGGAACAGAGGTGTTCCGTCCTATGATAATTATATATATATATATATATATATATATATATATATATATATGTATATATATACATGTATATGTATATATAGTAGACCTACTCATGCAGATTTTGCAACGTTTATGTGACCTTTGACATCATTCCAGCATCTTAACACGTGAGAACCATAGTTACATCATGCGTGATTCAATGTGTATGCCCTCTCCACAATGTTTACTCACACAGACTTTGCAAATGCAATGCAACGTACAGCCTGGCTGCAAGGAAGCGTCACTGACACGCTGGCATGCTACAAAAGTGTCTCTGAAATCTTATCAAAATGTTAACACGCAATGTTGTATAAGCCATGATACTGAAAGATATCAGCCTAACTGACATTTGTCACTTACACATCACTTTGTTTTGCGTTTTCAGCATATTATTAAGAGCTACGACTGGGAGAAGACTTGCGACAGAGCCAGACCAAAGTGAAACAAAACAGAGCTCACTTTTGCGAGTTCAGCATGCACTTCTGAGCCTACTTGTCTAGTATCCCAATTTGTGAGCTTTTCCGCCCAGTTGCTTGTTTGTCTTTGGGATGGATTTCCCATTATCAGCTGATTGTACCGTCAGCAATCGGCATCGCCGTTATGGAGCACTATCGTGCATTGCCATCCGTGACATCAATTACTAGCTACTTCAGTGTATGACTTTCAATCGCGATGGAACCCTCTTGCGCGTGATTTTCAATCACGCTGCAATGTCAGCAGTAACGGGGCTTACCAAGGCAGTGTACAGTTTTATTTCACACAGCTTGCTGGACTTTATACAGTTTGCTGGGCTTTTAGCGGACATGACACTGGAGCCATGTGGCAGACAGCACGGTATCCAGAACGCTAAACACGGAGCACATTGTAGGTAAACACACGCTAAACACGGAGCACCTCGCACGGTAAACACACGCTAAACACGGAGCACCTCGCACGGTGAACACACGCTAAACACGGAGCACCTCGCACGGTGAACACACGCACGGTGAACACACGCTAAGCACGGCGCACCTCGCACGGCGAACACATGTTTAGAAACGTTCGTGTTGTCAATGCAACCCCATATGGATGCTCGTGGTGCTGAACACGCCCAAAAGAGCGGTTTAACTTATGGCACAATCTTCCGGTTCTGCAGATAATACTATCAGCCGCATAATCCGGAGCTTACGTTGCGTGGCTGTCCACGAGTGACTGACGTTTCACTGTCAGCTTTACTGGATGATGTCAGAGGTTTTAAATGTGAGCAGCCAATGACGTCAGCTTAATCAAAACTTAGGGAATCTTGCGCGGACAAAGCATGCGTCTTAAAACAACGCACGCATGCGATATATGTGTATGAAGTACGCCAGTTCATGATCAGGTGAGATGGATGCTTTCGGTGGCTGCATGCAAAAAACTGCATGCAAAAAACCTCACCGAGCTCATTAGATCGTGCAGACAAAGGTGACAAAGGCGTCCATAGATGATGTGTGTTGGTACTGGTCGTGGCTAGCTTAGCAGATCTGGGTAAAGGAAAAAGATAAGGTAAAGGAAGGAAAATGGAAGTGAAAGGGAAAAGGGTACGCAGGCATCATTTAGCAACACCCTTCGGCATCAACGGCGTGGAAAAACAGCATACTACCCGTAAATGAGGCTGTGTGCATTGTTTTGGAGCAGAAAACCCTCAAGCATGCAAAACCATGTACCTAAAAAGTGTTTACATTACGTCTCAATTGATCAACTTTGACATCGTTTATAATGCAAAGCACCACAACTCTTAACTTTGACCTAAAGTCCCGAATATACACACAAAATTAGATGCTTCCATCCACAGACATATGATTTAGCATACTCCAAGGATTGTTACGCACCACAAGGATTCAGTAGCTTGAATGAGGTCCACCACGGTCGCTGAATCTCACCAGGTAATATTCGGTACATCTGATCATTAATATAACAGCTAACCTAATGCAGCCAATGACTGTAAATTACCTAAGTTCCAAACTAAGGTTTGCCCGTGCTAGTGGACGTTCGAGAAAGGCATCATCGCATCCGGTTAAGAGAGCTCTTAACCGGCTCTATTCACCTCAACATTTTTGAAAGTACATAAGCTGGGATGGTAAGAGTGAAGCCATTTACCAGCCAAATTTTTACGGTGTTCAGAACTTCGGAAGAAAAAGTAGCCCAAAAATATAGCGTACAAAAGATTTTTAACTGAACATTTATCTGTATGCAAGCTGAAAAAAGCATAATACATTTTGAGCGTATTTGTCAGAAGTATTCTAGCATCGCGGAAGCCAGTGATCAGACGGCTAGAAAGCTTGTCGCTTCAATAGTGTGGCGGTGAAACGATGCTGTATAAAACTGGTATTTGGTTTACTGTCTATAAATTCATTGAAGTTATCGCTGTACTTTGCTAGCCCAGACGACATGCCTTCACGATATTTTACTGATTGTTGCACCATGTGTCCATAGGTAATATCACAAAATGAGCAATGCGGGCAGAACCTTCGTGGAAAAGGCAACTTGTTATTCCCACGACCTCGTTTTGGTTGTGGCTAACTCAACTACGTGCCACTTAAACGATGCATTGGAAAGTTGACCAGTTTTGCTGCAACCTGGTCGTGAGGACGTTGAGTAGGGCAAGCTGTTCAGGCCAGGAAATCATTTGCCAAAAAACGCTTTTGAATGAGCTCGTTGAGCGAACGGTTCTACGTTCTCCGCAATTGCGGCTGAATGCTTATGCCCGAAGAGTACCAGCTGGCAATGTGCCGTTCCGACCTGCTCATTGGAGCTAGATAGATGTGGGCGATCCAGGCAACTTAATCTCAGCTCATAGGAATAGTTGAGCATGCCGAGCAGTTCGAAATTCATCAACGTCACTAAATTCAGGCCATATAACTTCCAATCAGCTAGTCATTAAAATCTGACATCAGCTGGTACCATGGAGTCAAAATCGGAGAACAACTTATCCATTGCAACGCCAAACTCTTCATGCAACGCGGTGCTGCATGCACCTTACAGCAGCCTCCCAGCCGAAACCCGGGTACGCACCTGCAGCGCAGAGTAGGAGCACTGTCGTCACTGTCAGCCAGAGGGACGCCATTCCAGCCGCGCACCCGCCCAGCACGCGACCACCACTGTCCTCCACCACCGGCGGCGCTCGTCTGTCGGGCGGCCGGCCGCCGGACACGCCTCCTGGGCGCGAGCGCCGGTCCACGAGCAGGCAGGGGTCCGGTGCTGCAGTCTGCCAGTTTGCTACACTGGACAGAACCAGACCCCTGTCCAACAGACTGCCGCATCAGACCCCTGTCCAGCAGACCGCCGCACCGGACCTCTGTCCATGATGCGGCAGTCTGTTGGACAGGGGTCTGGCGCGGCGGTTTGTTGGACAGCAGTTTGGCATGGCAGTCTGTTGGGCAGAGGTCTAGTGCGGCAGTCTGTTATGCAGGGTCCGGTGTGGCAGTCTGTTAGGCAGGGCTCTGGTGCGGCAGTCTGTTGGACAGGGGTATGGTGCGACATTCTGTTGGACAGGGACCTGATAACCCGCCTGTGGGACAGGGACCTCATAGCTCGCCTGCGGGACAGGGACCTCATAACTCGCCTGTGAGACAGGGGCCTCATAACTCGCCTGTGGGACAGGGGCCTCATAACTTGCCTGTGGGACAGGGGCCTCATAACTTGCCTGTGGGACAGGGGCCTCATAACTTGCCTGTGGGACAGGGACCTCATAACTTGCTTGTGGGACAGGGGCCTCATAACTTGCTTGTGGGACAGGGGCCTCATAACTCGCCTGTGAGACAGGCGCCTGATAATTCATCAGTTGGACAAGGACCTGATAACTCACCTGTGCAACGATGATCTGATAACTTGCCTGTGGAACAGAAACCTGATAACTCGCCTCTGGGGCAAGGATTTGATAACTCGCTTGTGGGACAGGGGCCTCATAGCTCGCCTGTGGGACAGGGGCCTCATAACTCGCTTGTGGGACAGGGGCCCCATAGCTCGCTTGTGGGACAGGGGCCCCATAGCTCGCCTGTGGGACAGGGGCCTCATAACTCGCCTGTGAGACAGGGGCCTCATAACTCGCCTGTGGGACAGGGGCCTCATAACTTGCTTGTGGGACAGGGACCTCATAACTTGCCTGTGGGACAGGGGCCTCATAACTTGCCTGTGGGACAGGGACCTCATAACTTGCCTGTGGGACAGGGGCCTCATAACTTGCTTGTGGGACAGGGGCCTCATAACTTGCTTGTGGGACAGGGGCCTCATAACTCGCCTGTGAGACAGGCGCCTGATAATTCATCAGTTGGACAAGGACCTGATAACTCACCTGTGCAACGATGATCTGATAACTTGCCTGTGGAACAGAAACCTGATAACTCGCCTCTGGGGCAAGGATTTGATAACTCGCTTGTGGGACAGGGGCCTCATAGCTCGCCTGTGGGACAGGGGCCTCATAACTCGCCTGTGGGACAGGGGCCTCATAACTCGCCTGTGGGACAGGGACCTCCTAACTTGCCTGTGGGACAGGGGCCTCATAACTTGCCTGTGGGACAGGGGCCTCATAACTTGCCTGTGGGACAGGGACCTCATAACTTGCCTGTGGGACAGGGGCCTCATAACTTGCCTGTGGGACAGGGACCTCATAACTTGCCTGTGGGTCAGGGTCCTCAAAACTTGCCTGTGGGACAGGGACCTCATAACTTGCTTGTGGGACAGGGGCCTCATAACTCGCCTGTGAGACAGGCGCCTGATAATTCATCAGTTGGACAAGGACCTGATAACTCACCTGTGCAACGATGATCTGATAACTTGCCTGTGGAACAGAAACCTGATAACTCGCCTGTGGAACAGAAACCTGATAACTCGCCTCTGGGGCAAGAATTTGATAACTCGCTTGTGGGACAGGAACTGGCAGTAACCTGATAGTAGACAGGATAGCAACCATGCTGAAAAACGGGATGATACCCCGTCTATTCCCTTGATTGACAGGGACTTGATAGCCCACTAGTTGCACAGGGATCTGGTGCGCAATGTGTGGGACGGGTATCTGTTATCTCATACTTGAAATATGATGACGGTGGCCTATTCCTCTGCTTCTGTCCGCGTCACCCATTGATCATCCAGAATGACAGACGCATTTTGATTGATGGTAAGCCGAACCAGCTCAGCTCCTTGGGCTCATGAGGGCCGGTAATTAAAGACCGGCTTTTGGCATTTACAATTTCGATCTACATGATACTAACGGCGTGCTCGCATCCTGGAAAACCTTCAACGTCAGAGATATATAATCTCTAACTACCCATGATTTAGCCGCTATGTGGTATGGAGGGCCTCACTTCAATCGCACACAACATGACTGAAATCGTGATATCTCCTGGCATCGACTCGCCGTCGTATTCTAGGAAATGCAGGAATGCGCAAAGTCCGCTTGTGGTATGGCAGCAGCCATGACGGTCCGGTGCACGCATACAATTCGGAATGTCACTGGTCAAGCAAATCTCTTGCACCGCCTTCTGAGAAAGACGGGGCGGCAACTTTCAGAAGCGTAATTGTCAATCCGAGCGTGCACCAAAATAGCTTCAAATCCGGTGCGGAATTTGCCAGGTGGAGCGAAGCCTGCGTCCGCCCGCAGACCAAGAGCGCAGGGGCTGCTACTGCGTGCGTTCTGTGCTGACCAGGACTGGTTTTGTCTGGCGCGCTGGCCGGATAGTGTTACACTTTCATGGTTATTATATGCTTACAAATAAGTCAATACTAATAGCCTTGTTCTTCGTAAAGTAACCGGAAGAATGGAGCGATAGATTATGAGGCGTATGCATGTATATATATATATATATATATATATATATATATATATATATATATATATATATATCTGTCATATTGGAATGTATGATGTTCCTCGCAAATTCACTAAGCAGCTTACATGCTAAATGCTGATAACAACGTGCTTGAAAAGGCTTAGGTCTCGTCGTAGCCACGCCACACATTAACCTCTTACACAAATATTGTTTCACGAAATCATGTTCTCTGTAAATTCTGCATCCGTTCTTCACCTTGATGATAACTCACTGCTTGTGTCATGAGCTAAAATCAAGTCCGTTCAACTCTCATGGCATCCTTGGTCACGCCAAATCACCTCACGCAATGAGGGCTAAAGCTCCTTGTGTAAGTCCTGTAAGACATTAGTTCAATTCTCAGAACGTCTCAGGTCACCTTCAGCTAATACCAGTTTAGGGATTACACACTGCTGATATTACACGATTGCAGCGTCCTATGAAATGATGACATAAATTACCAACTAGAGCCTGTGTCGGGTTTCACACTGTGGTTTCTTTTGGCCGTTTGATTTACCGTAACTGCAGAGGAACGCATGCTCACCATTCAATGGAAGCCTAGGACAGTTAAGGTCAGTAAAACCACTCCACATTTATGTAGCGATATTTGTTTTATTCCGTGTGTGCCGGTGCTAGTAGCGCAAGGTATTCAGATGCACTTAAAACTCCTTAAAGCTCTTAAGCAAACTCGAAAAGACTCGTCCAGATGCTTCGATGAGGCCCGCGCTGGGATAAAACCGGTTCTGGCAAAACCGGATCTAAATGCGCACGTTGGTGTTGCGTCCAGCAAAAAGTTACCAGACCTCCTTTGTGTCATCTAATCGCAAATCGTGATAACGTCCAATGGACAAACAACTTTGAAAAAGTGGGGTGAAAGAAATCGCGACATTTTAACCTGACCGTGGACGTAAGCTTAACTTGTAGTTTTTTGGAGGACAACAATTTTACAAGTACTGGTGTTGCAACATCCAGGAGCTTTTTGGCGCTTGGATCAGCTCTACCAGCTGAATGGTTTCGGAGGTGCAAACTAGTCTGCATTTCATTTGTATCGGATAACTTCGGATTTTTGCGTGTGGCAAAATAAATTGTAGTGCATGAGTACCAGGCTAGCAGGGTAAATATTTGGCGCATGGTGTAGTGTACTGCGTAGCGTGCGTGATGTATGACAGCAGCGGTGCAGTTTATCGTATGCTGGCGAATAAAGTGACCTATTCGGCTATTTTACCGGGCATCTTTGGGCGCTAAAAACAACACCTCTGGAGCTCCTAAACGTGACTGCTTTCATTTTGGGATTAAGAAATATAACATGTGCTGTGATGAGCCCTTTGGCCGCTAAGATCTTGCAAGCAAATAAAGATCACCCCCAGCAAAATATGTGAATCAACCCACATGGCTCATCAAAGCCCCTGCTTAGCAGATAATTGCATCCTTGCGAATCATGTACTTGCCGTATGTGTATAGTTGGGGCGGCTGTTCTCCGCCGGTGTCTGGCAATTGTTGGGATGCATTCTGGACACCGTTTGCTGTTTCATTTCGAATGTTCTGAGAAAAAATGGAAATGCGTTTTTAACACCGGCTTGCGTGTGGTATCTGTTTGTATTTCTTCTCTGCAATCAAGGTTCGTACTAGAAAATTTATTCAAAACACATCTTAGAAGATGACTCAAAGGTCCATATTATTACAAGGAGGTCATTCTATTTCAATCGTTTTCTGAGTTGTTCAAGTGAGCGATAATCCCCTGTTGCCGGCTTCCCCAGAAAATATAAGGTGATATATACTCCGCGAATATGGAAAGTTGAATGCCGAATGTGCAGCAAAGTTATCAAGTATCTGCCATGAAAGCTGGATTACAGGTTATCGTATCCAATGACTTTGTTCACCGCGCATTGCCTAACATCTATTCGTGCTTAAAGAGCAAAGTAGATCTACACCAATGCTCCTGCATTGCTAAATGTTGGTGATCATATTTATCCAGCGATGCGTGGACGTCGCTGCCCCTGGAGCAGGTGTGGCTCGGACTCCGGGAAACTTTTGGCAGATTAGGCTCATTTTTTCATAAGAAAGAGCAATAAAGCGCATTGGATCTCATCAACATTTTATGCGTTAATTTGCATCGATGCCTAGTTGTATGAACTTAAGTATAGCTTGATGACTGAGAAAAACTGACTTTAAGATGCTCGCCAGAAGCACATTTTGGGAGCGCGATCGATGTGCTTTTCACCAATATCGAGCAGAAACACAGAAAACGCAAGCTGTTAACATTTGGGCAGCTTATGGTGAAAAATGTTT